CGGACTTCCAGAACTGTAAAATAATAAATTTGCATTACATTAAGCCATTAAATATGGTAATTTGTTACAGCAGCAATAGAAAATGAATACGAAATGGTTTCGGGACATTATCCTTTCAATTTGCTTCATGGAAATTGAAGAAAAGAAACTGCCTTATGATCAATACTTCAAGAGATAATTCCGTAGTTAAGTGAGCAATGTTTTTATTTTCTTTCCCAATGAAACTGTTAATTATTTAATTTAACAATCATTTACTGGGTGTGCAAATATGCATTTTGAATATACAGTCTGTTTTTAAGAAAAAGTAGCAAAAATTATTCTGTGCCTTCTGTGTGTTTTCCCTGGATAATAGATTTTTATACCACATCTTAAATCTATTTTAACAAAAGGCTCACTTTTGGAAAGTTTAGAGATTTTAATAATTATTGTTACTTGTTGCTGTGTTGATTTTAAATATAATTACTTTGAACCAACCAAGCCTGCAATCATTTCTTATATTTATATTCTTATAACTTTTGCTCATATCTTGTATCTTTCACAATTTTAATGATTCCTTTGACAAAGGCACACTCCAAATTCAGAATAATAAAACTCTTAGCATGCCTCTTGCACATAAGATATTTGAGGTGTGTTGTTGACATTTCTGGGTAACAGAAAGATTTGCTCTATCATGTTAGTAGGAAGAATGCTGGGAAAAAATCAGCAGCTCCAGATTTTCAATTATCTCAAGATTATAGTGCTACTCCATGATGCAGACTGCAGCTGGAATATTTTACACTTGATGTCTTGGGGAGGGGTTGTCATCATAAAAAGGTACTGACAAAAAGAGTCACATTCTTGACTTTGGACTTTTAAAAGCCAAGGTCCAGGCCAGACAGTACTCTGTAATTTATTTAATTCAATACATTTCTTTACTTCATTCTATATTTGTCCAACTATCTGTAGCCATAGCTCCATTTGTGCTCTCCGATATAATAGCCACTAGCCATAGGTGGTTATTGAGCACTTAAAATGTGGTTAGTGTGAATAGAAATGTACTGTAAGTGTAAAATACACACCAGGTTTTGATGACTTAGCATGAGAACAGGAATGTAAAATATCACATTAATAATGTTAATGTTTATTGCATATTGATGTGATGATATTTTAGACATTTTGAGTTAAATAAAAATATATAATTAATGTTAATTTCACATGATTCTTTTTACTTTTAAAAATGTGCTTGCTAGGCAATTTAAAATTTCATTTTTGACTTGTATTATTTTTCTATTGGACAACCCTATATGCTCATCCATGTTGACCTTATTTACTTTCACCTGAGGAGTCACTTCCACTCTTAATTTTTTCCATGTGTAAGTGGATGTTCAATGACATTATAATGATGAAATCTAATATTTCTTGACAGGGTATACTGGAAATTACATAGAAAATGTCCTGTATCTCATTTCCTGGTAATAGTATTTGGGAATAATCACCAGGAATGATTGCTTGGTCTATAATTTGTACAAAAGGGAAGATATTTTCTTTGTGGCAATTAAGGCAAAGCCATTTATACTGCTGATATTTCCTTTAAAATATTTGGAAAACACAATCTAAAAATTAAAAAATATATAAGTAAATTTTCACAAGTGAATCAAAACAATAAGAAAAATAATATCTTGAGTGTTTAACACTGGTTGGATTTATCATCTAATTCATAATGTTACATAACAACAGCAACATATTAAAAATAGAATAATTTGGGAAGATTTTATTTACAAAGGGATTATTTATAAATGTATAGGGGAATCACACAGACAGTACAGAAATCCAGGGATAACGGTTCCTGAGATTTTATGCCTAGTCCTAGAATTGGCCATTTAGAATGTATCTTAGTCCATTTGGGCTGCTATAACAAAATATCATAGACTGGATGACTTATAAACATCAGAAATTTATTTCTCATAGTTCTAGAGGGTGGGGATACTAAGATCAAGGTGCCAACAGTTTCAGTGTCTGGTGAGGGTCTGCTTTTGATTCATAGGTGGTGCCTTCTCATTGCATCCTCACAGGGTGGAAGGAGTGAGAGGTCTCTTTCAGGCCTCTATTATTAGGAAACTAATCCCATTCATGAGGGCTCCAACCTTATGACCTAGCCTCCTAATACTATCACTTTGTGGGGTAGGATCTCAACATATTAATTTTAGGACACAAATATCCAGACCATATTAGAAAGGAAATGTGACCTTTACTTATGGATATGACCAGCCCTAGGGAAGCCCCTAAGGATGGCAGCAGGGGAATGAATACTCTGACTTCACTCTCCCCTAGCTCTCTAATCTCATATTAGTGTTTCCCATTAGGTAAATCCAAACAGACACCAGAGGGCATGGGAGATTTGCTGATGTAATTCATACTGATCAGTTTCTCAGAGCAGAGAGCAGGGTGAAAGGTGGAGAGTATACCTGTAGAAGAAAACAGAAAACATATGGCAGAGCCATATGTTTTTAGAATCTTTTGCCACTGCAGTCCCCAACCCCTGGGCATGGACTGGTACCAGTCGCTGGCCTGTTAGGAACTGGGCTTCACAGCAGGAGGTAATGACAGGCAAGTGAGTGAAGCTTCATTTGTATTTACAGCCACCCTGCTCCCCATCACTGGAATAAACGCCTGAGCTCCACAGTCACTGTTACCCATCACCCCCCCCCCATGGGACCATCTAGTTGTAGGAAAACAAGCTCAGGGCTCCCACTGATTCTGCATTATGGTGAGTTATATAACTCATTATGTATTACAATGTTATAATAATAGAAATAAAATGCACAATATATGTAATGTACTTGAATCATCACCAAACCATTCCACAATTCCCATGGAAAAACTATCTTCCATGAAACAGGTCCCTGGTGTCAAAAATGTTGGGGATTTCTGTTTTACCACATTGCTAGACACATATACACCCTTCCCCCCTCATTTCTTCCTCTCCCAAATAGAGAATTATATCTTAAAACCAGAACAGGATTAGAAGACAGAAGTCCACAGTGTTCTGTCTCTCATATACTATACATTTTCCGTGGAGGATCTCATCTATTCCCATGGCTCTGGTTAATGTCTGTGTATGCTGATGGCTCTAAAATCCATTGTTCTACGCAGACCTCTTTCTTGTCCTCTAGATCAGCATACCCAACTGCATGCTGGTCGCCTGGATGCCCCACAAGCTTCTCAAACTAGTGTATTCAAGAAAGCATCCACCAACTTTTGCCTGATATCTTGATAAAGTTGCCATGTCAAAGAGTCTTTTTTTTTTTTAATTTCCTAGAACAAAGACATAAAGATTAAAAGAAGCTGTTTTAATTATGATTAGCAGAGGCTTACACAGGTAATTGTGGTTATTCTAAAGATCTGAAAAATCCATACCATTATCCATGGTTCATACTAATACTAAGTTGAGACTTGACCACTTACAGTGTCCTCCATGTTAGTTTTGATTTGCTTTCATCTGAATAATTGCACAAGCTAATGCTTATTGAGTACTTCCTATATGTCACGTACTTGTGTTCTTATTTAAGCTTCACAAGAACCCTATGATGATGAAGAAGTTGAGGCTTAGAGGGACTAATTGTCATGTACAAGGCCCCATAGCTGATGAGGAGTGGAGGTGAGTTTCAGTTGGCCTTAGCTTAACTCCAGAACATATGCACATCACTTCTCTGCAATATTGGATACCAGTCGTTCTTATAGTCCAGGGCAGAGGGGCTAAAAAGTCACGAGCTAAATGCTACTGAATCTGACACTGAAGAAGCTAGGGGTAAGGAAGATATAATAGGTCTTGAGGAAGCTGGGTGGGGAAGAGATTATAGGGGAAAAGTAGCAGAAGATATAAAATATGAGATCCTTTTTCTCTTTTAAAACATTAGTTAAGCATGCATTGTGCTAGACATTAGGGATAAAAAAACAAGGAAGACAATTTCAGTCTAGTGAGGAAGATAGGTAAAAATACAACAAATTTTGAAATTAAGATAGTTTATACATAAGGTCACTGAACATTAGAGGAATTAGATACACACAGGATGTATTCATTCACTTTATTCATTTAAAGAGTACTTCCGGGAGTACCCACTACACTATGCTTGAAGCTGGAGTAATAAAGTGGAAGATACAGTTTTTATCCTGAAGAAACTCACAGCCTAAGGAACATTCTCCCGGGGTGGTTGTCAGGTAGCAAGAATGGAGCTAAAGGAGCATAAAAGGATTACACCTCCTGGTGTATTTGGAAAATGCCAATTGTATAGTTAATTGTTATCAGAGCAAAAAGTGAAGGCTTTTGGGTTGGCAACTGAAGAGAAGAGGTATACTAGATAGGAATGCAGTGGACAGGTCTAAAGGTCTTGGAGCTTTTACAATGACAACCCTAATTGTTGCTGGTGGACTTGCGAAGGGCCACGCATTTTCCTGCAGCACTAGTTACAGTAAAATGATCTGGAGGACAAAACCTCCTCGTGCTTTTCACTATTAAAAATACGTATTATATTATGGAGTTGAATGCAATAGCATATGGATTAGTAAAATACGGCAGGAAACGAATTTCCACAGCTGGGCTTATGCATTGGCCTGATAGGACAGGAAGCTACAGTGAGATTCCACAGCTGGGCAGGCAGATGGCTTTGGCTCTCACCCCTGAAGACTCTGGGGCAGGAGTTCACAGTCCTCAGCTCTCCCAGGATCTAGGGCAGGATAGCTGGAGACCCGTGAGTAGTAAATGAGGGAGAGAAACATAAGAGTTAAAGCATATAGAGTGGAGAGAGGCTGAGACACAGGAGACTGTGCGCCAGTCATTGCCTCTGCTCCCTTGACCTCTCCTTGCGACAAGATCCCCAACCAGGTGATCCTTTGTTACGTAGACTGCGCTCGCGAGCTGCCCTTTGAACTCCCGGCGCCTGGTTGCCGGGGCAACCCTCTTCCGCAGGAGACTCTGCGACTTCCTGCCATTGGCTTAGAGGACGCAGCGCGCGTCTGACGTCACTGCGCGGCGCTGTCAGGTCCCGAGGCGCGAGCCGCGCGAAGGCTCATTTTCCGAAACTCCAACAGCCGGTGGCGGGAGCGGCATATGTTAGCTGACCGGCAGCCGGGCCAAAGCCCCACCAGGGGCGGCGGCTGGTATGCGGATCGCGGCGGGAGAGAGGCGCGGTAGGAACGGGTCCTGGGACCTGTGGACCACGGGTGCAAGCATCTTGTCCGCGCTGTCTCGGCCCAGCCGGCTTCCTTGTAGGCCTGTTGCTAGGGCCTCAGGCCCCCGTTGCTAAGGATCCTTGAGACCCTGAGCGCAACTGGTGACTTTCTCCTTTTCTGGGGTCGGGCTTTGGTCGTGCGTAGCTTTCGTTTGTCTTAACTGAAGCTGGCCTCTTTCTCCTACCCCTCTTTTTTAACCTCTGGTTGTTCTTTTTAAATTATTATTTTTAAAATCTATTTTTTCTGTGTCTTCGTTATTTTCTGACTTTGACAACACCCTGGCCCTGAACTGATCTTAGGTATTTGGTAGTGGATGGTGGGGGGAGGTGGGAAGGCTGGGAAGATGGAAAATAGGTTTTAAGATCCTTAATACTGGCCCTTTGGATTTACTTTATAGTAAAAAGTTATTGGGATAAGTGGCTATTGGGCTCTGTCTCTGTCCTTTAGAATTTGAAGGCGCTTTAGAAATAGAACATGGCTTTAGTAGGGTGCCTATTACAGTTTTGCAACTTCCTAGTCACTGGATTAGAGAGTAGGAAAAAAACGTGGCCTCTGCCCCAGAGAAGTTAACAAGCATTTTAGTTCAGTGGTCTCAAAAGCCGGGCGTGGAAATAGGATGTATGGGCCTTCAAAACAGTGATAGAAAGTATGCTTTCCTAGCATTGATACAGATGCCGAAAATACCTTGTAGGTAACCTACAGTAACTAAGGGAGTAGTGTAGTTTCACAGTGGGATCCTGCTAGATTTATTTGTTCTCTGATATTGTGACATAATTTAGGTGTTTCAGGTTAAGTGGATTTATAGATTCTAGTATCTAATTAGAATTTTTGCATTGTTTGTAAAAGAATAAGGGATGACCTTGCTAATATTTATAACAAGTTTTTTTTTTTTTTTTTTTTTACTGCTTCACTTCTCTCCATCGCTTCCCCATTATACCATCTTCCACATGTTATTTAGTGACAAAACACTCAAAAAGAGTTGTTGAGGGTAAGATGAATTAAGCGTTTTCTATCACAAGTAACTCATGCTCTAGGCTTGTCAGTAGTATGATACCAGGTGGATTTTATTTTTAAAAATTGAGCACACTTAAAGCCGTCGCTTAGTATCTGAGGGAGATTGGTTCTAGCACACCCCTTTTGCCTTCTAGGCTAGGTAAATACCAAAATCCACGGAAGACTCCACCAGTTGGCTCTCTCTTAACATTCACTGTTAGTTCAATCTACCTATGCAGAACTTGTAGATACAGAAGGCCAACTGTCAATCTGATCCACAGTACCGAAAACATTTGTACTCCTGTAATATTTTGAAATAACAAAAAAGAAAACCACTAACAAAAGATCAGAAGGCTGAATGTAATTTGTCCTTAAGGTAGACAGTAAATAATTTTAACACATGAAAAAGTAATTGTTTTGGGGAAAAAACTCTCATAGGATATTTTGAAAGTGGACATAGCAACATTTACATCATTGTATATGTTGCTGAAAATTACATAAACATATTGTACATAAAAACTGCCCTGTTTATTTAAGAACTTTGGACGCTCAACTTTCTACCATGTTTAAAATGTAAAATGTAAACGTTCTTCAAATAAAGAATTTCAGTGGCTTTTTGCACACATTCAAAATATAATGCCACATCTTCCCATTGGTATTTGACACGAACAACTTTTTGACATAAAGATAATAATTAAGCTGTAGAATTCTATCAAAAACTTTCGCGGAATTGATAGATAGTATTGAAAAATGTCCATCATGATTTGATGTGGCTAACTATGCACTTAAACTGATCTTCAGATTGATCTAGCTCAAGGTGTTAAACCAAATTTTTTGAAAAGAAGGAAACATTTAATCAAATTGGCCACATTAGTATTACTAATGCTGAAAAATACTTTGTACCATTGTAAAGAAAGTAACAGCTAAAACTCAACACTTACTATGTGCCAACCATTATATAGATGTTATTTTACATATAGACTCCTATTAGTCTTCATCAACACTTAGAGTAGTTCCTGTAATTGTCCCTAATTATACAATTGAGGAACTGATGCATGGATTTTTTATTTGTATCCAACAGAAACTTGTATAAGCTCCTAGAGAGCCCTCCAGGAGCTTCTCAAAACAGAGGCCAGGCTCAATAGTAAATCTTTGTGGAATGTCACAGAAGTACAATAGTGGGTTAACTTATTTAAAGCTTGTCTTATATTTTAGAATATTATCTGACAAATATAATGAAATTTTAATTAACATAGTACTAGAAAATACCTTGGGAATGAAGGTGAAGTGTGATATTGGGAAGTAAGTCACGTGCTTGTACTGGGATGAGAAAATGAGATTAATATATTAAATCAAGAAAATTGAAATTAAAATTACTCTTTATGGAGAAACAATCTTACATGTAAGTTTACCTTTACATAATACCAGACTTTGGTACATCATGTTTGAAATATTATCTGGTTAAATTTTACTAAGTGGAACTGTGTCTTCCTTTTAAAGATTTTTAATTTGTCAAATAGATTAAAATCATGTCGTGAAGAATTGTTTAAGAAAGTATTAGTGTATATCCTCAAGAAGACAAAATGAAGGAGTTAAGAGTCAGTGTTCTCAAATATTTGAAAAGCTGTCATTTGGAAGTGGAAGAGGACTTCACCTCTGGTTGTCTTAAGAGAGTATCTTACATTGTAGTTGAGGGGCAGTCATGTATATAATGACTGTATTAAAGGTATAAAGTGAGAATATGCTAGTGGAATAATAACTAGAGTGTCATGGAAGTGAGAGAAAAGAGCAATCAAATAGAAAGAAGAGGAAACAGTGTAAAAATCAGAGTGCCATAGAACTGTACGTTTGAGAAACCGAGAAAATCAGGAAGGCTGCATGGAAGTTGATAATGGAGTTAGACCTAAAAATACCAGCAAATGGTTGGGTATATGAATCTGGGTGTATGTAAGTGTGCGTGTATGTGTGTGTGTGTACTTTTAGAAATTGATTTAAGCAGGTGGTATGAACTAGAGTCTTCCCATTAGCAGAAAAGGGAACTGTGCAAGAGATAAAAGTGAGCCAACATTTGCTGAGTGAGCAACTTGATCTATCTTCTTATTTACTTCTCCAGAACAGCCTGGATAGGCTTTTATTATCTCCCCTTTTTAACGGGACAGTAAGTCTATGCTTAAGGAAATTAAATAATCTGCCTAACTTCATAAACCTGGCTGTTGGTAGGACTGAGTTACGGACCCAGATCTGAGCCTAAAGCTCTTTCTGTTTCATCACATGATCATCACATCTGTAGGGTTGAGTATAGGAAGTGAAGGAAAAGTAGACAATGGATAATCCTTAAATTTTCAGTTTGGGACCAGAAAACTTGCAGAACCCATTGAATTAACAAGAAGTTTATAACTTTATTGTGACAACCTCAGTTTTAGTTATGTTTAATTTAAAGAGCTTGTGGTACATTGAGCAGGAGAGTTCATTATGTTACTGGAAAAAATAGAAGGATGTTAACATTTGGAGCACTGGAAATATAGAGGATGTGTCAACCACCCTTTTAAGAAATCTAGTCTGTTTTTTCTATGTGACTAGAGGATTGAAATTGAGTTTCTAACAGTATATTTTAACAACTTGAATGAAAAAAAAGGCTTATTTTTATACATCTTGTTTTCTTGCAGGTGGTTTTTACTTTGCTGTTATTGATATTATTGAATTTGATGTAATTTCATGTCTTCTCATTAGTCTTTTCGGGTATTTTGCTCCATACCATAACTTTTTTGTGTCTTTTACTCTGTTGTGTTTTGGACTTTATATTGATAAAGTATGTATGCCCCTTCAAACAAATTTTGAAATAAAGTTTCATTGTAGGAGTAAAGGGGAAGCAATGCAGAAATCAGAGTGCCCCAGAGGTACACAGTTGAGAAACAGAGTAACAGGTACAGAACTTTTTTTCTTAAGAGAAGAGGCCAAGTTTGTTAAAGATGGATGCAGGATGAAATGTATTGCTTTTACCTTTTTTTGTTGATGTTCTGTTTTGTCCAGGTAACTGTGATCAAAGGGCACTATCAAGTGCACAAATAAAATGCAGGACTACAGTTCAGCAAATCAAATCCTCCTCATCAACCAGTTCTCCAGAGTCTGTACGAAAACTTCATCCTCGACCTAGTGATAAACTTAACCCTAAAACAATTAACCCGGTAGGTCCAAAATAATTCTGGTCAGTAGATTTTTTCAAAGTAATAGACATTTAGCACACTATTGAACCATTCTGAATGCTGTCTTGAGATTTGTTGTTGTTAGTTTTGAGCTAATGATGAAGGAAGGGCATATGGTAATCATGATGAAGATCTGAGCTAATCACATGCATGTAGGAATGAGTGTGGAGGTGAGAAGGTGTTAACCAGTTTGGGTATGTCCTGTCATATTCGTGGATGGGCATTATAGTGCATAAAATAAACTGTATATTAGCTTTACTTTTTATTTACTGTGTTGTTTTACTTTCTAATATCAAATGAATAAATTTGTATTTAGTTGCCATAGAATGATTTACATGCTTCCATAGTTGCATAAAGGTCTCTGACCATTCTTCTGTGTTCTACAGATTAGCTCCACCAGAAATCCTAACTGCAGTACTAGTCTCCATTTGCCCTCTCACAACGATTTAATCAGATTAAATAAACATGACATTTATTATGTACATGAAAGTGCATAAATTGTAAGTGTGTAGAGAGTGAATTATCCAGAAGTGAACACATTTGTGCAACACCCGTAGGTGTTGCCTGGCCCATGCCCACCCTTGGTAGGGTAAGATGATAGTGGTTTCAGCTGTTGAAGGGGACTGTGAGGTGACTGAGGTTCTCCACTAACTTTGATGGCAGGTAGAATATGGCAGATACTTAAGCAAGGGTTTAGTGAACTATGTGAGGGCAGGAAGAGAGAGTCTGACTTTGTAAAAGAAAAATGACTAATAGTTTGAGCATCTATGTTCCTTTGCTTCTTTCTATAAAGAAGCACAGTGTCAAGGAGATTGAATACTTGAAGAAGGCCCTGATATCTGTTTGCTGTCACTTTTGTCTTATATTTAGTTGAGGGAGTTTATGGTGGTGATACTTCACTTTTCTAATTCTCTTTAAAGAAAAACTTTTTCAATTAATAATGTTTAGTGGACCTGATCTTAAGTCTTAAAATTAAAAATTAAGGACAGTTTTGGGAAGTAATGATTTTACCTGAGAAAAGCATGTCTAAGATATGTAAAGGCGTTACCCATACAAAACAAATCAGTTGGAAGTCAGGGTAGGGTTACCTTTGGGGAAAAAGGTGGGTAGGGATTAGGAAGAGGCTTCCTAGTATGCTGGTAATTTTCAGGTTTTTCACCTCAATGTCAATATAAAGGTGTGTTCATTTTTGTGTTTTCACCATTTACTTATGGTTTATGCACTTAAAAGTTTATAAATTTTAAGTATTTCACTTGAATCAAAATTTTTTAATATTACTAATTTAGTATAGTGTGGTTGATAACTTGTTTCAGAATGGAAATATTGTCTGTGTTGATATGGTTAAAAATTGAATGAGACAACAATTATTTTTACATTAATAGAATTTTGGTAAAATTTGGTTAAAATTGATAAAATTAATCCATTTATAGGGGAAAAAACCCCTGATCCTATGGGACCTGGAAAGTGAAACCGATTATCTCTAGAACAAAATTAAAAGGCAAGGAAGGGAATTGCTTAGAATTTTAATCAGAAATTTTGTCTGTGTGGGTCTTTTGAAACTTTAGGGATTTTATACATAGGTCATAGAGCCAAAATGTAAGGTCAGTTGCTAGTAGGTAAAAGAATAGAATATGTTAATAATATAGCACTAACTTGTCTTAATTTTTTCCCCCAATACAAGTAGCACTTTTTCAAGTAACTTTCTCATCTGATGTGATTATTACTTGAAAGTAATTTTTAAAATGTATTTCTTTCTTAGAAATTATAACTAGATGAATGAAACATGTATATTGCTATGAATTCTTACACATAGCATGGATTGAGCTTTGTAAATGAATTTTTTAGTATTTTATTTTAATCAATTTTTACCTATGTGCTTTTACTCAAAACACATGTTTTTCCAGAGGAAAAAGGCGCTAATTATAAACTTACACATAGTCTAAGTATATTTCAAAACTACTCCATGTGATTAAAAAAAATTAGCTAGTTATATCTTTAAAATACCTTAGTAAATTTATATTTAATATTTTATAAATTAGACAACTGTGTTTCATTTGATTATGTTCAAAGTACCATGTGATAAAACATTTACTTTTTGTGCCTAAATGCTTAAATCTCTGATCAATTGTATTGAAATTATTTATGCTGTGATGGTTTAACTGTTGTGATTGACCATCTCTTAAATCATCTTTGAGAGTAGGTATACAATTAATCTATTCTTAAGATGATAATATATAGCAAAAACAAAAGATTATGAAGTTATATAATTTAAAAAGACATATCCAGGCATATGTTTGGAGTATCATGCTCCATCTTCAACTCTTTCATCCTTGCCCATTGCAATTCTTTGTTTCTTCATAGAAGCATGAAGCCAGTTTGGAGAAATTATACAGATTCTCTGACCATCCATACCATCCATATTTGGCTTGATGACAAGTAGAAGATGTGCTAGGGGCAGAAAAATAATCCATTTTCCCTGTACTTAACACCTCTTCTCCATTTAGCCCTCACCTTGAAAGGTCACAGTGGGGAAGTGGGTAAGAATGATCTATCAATCCATATATGGTTGCAGCCACTTGCAAGCCTTCTGAAACAAGTTAGGGGTAAAAGGAAATGTACAAAGGGTGTTTGTGGTATTACTAGTAGTGAGAGGATGGACACTTTTTCTCAGTCATGTTGCTGTGTAGGAATGATGCACTTGATACCAGTGTGTTGGTTTGAGTGTCAGGGAGGCCATTGCATCTGACCTAAAAAGGATTAAAATTGATTTGCTATCATAAAGTGGAGGAGATGATTGCAATATTTTCATTGTTTTAATTTCAGTTTGCTGAACAATCACGAGCCCCTTCTGCTTTCTCAGCTATTTACTCTAAAGGAGGTATACCGTGCAGGTAAAATCAATACGATTTTTAACAGGCCATATTATTCAAAATAATTATGTAAAATCAATACTGTATTCAGTTTAAATGTATTGAAAGTTTTATTTACTAGTGAGGTTAAAATAAAGGTGTTTTATTCACACGGCTATTGGATTGGAACAGATCCCTGGATGTTAAGAAAACCATTTTAATTCCAGAATATAATTACTGAAGGTCTATGATAAAAGAAAAACATATAATTTAAGAAATTGAATGAAACATTTTTTAAAAACAATCAATTTAAGCATTCACAGCCTTGGACACATTGCAAATAGAAAAAGTCCTATCTTTTTGGTAAAGTGAAGATTGGCAATTTAGTGGAAATGTTTATATTTCTTAATAAGGACATTGTTGTTTTTGCTTAATTTTCCATATATTTCTTGCCACCTTTCTAGACAGATGTAAGAACTATTTTAAAGGAAGCAATATAGATTACTAATAGTGTGATATCATTTTAAGATTTATTACTAAGAAGCATTTAATTCTTCACAGTATATCCAGTTTTAGCCTATTCTGGACAATAGAAATTTTTATTTTAATTGTGGAAAGAATAATCACAACTTTATCCCCCCAAAATTCAAGAAATATAGTTTTTGAGTGGTATTTTCAGATTCGGAGTGAAAAATAAGCTCAAGAAACATTCTTTAATTTATTGTTACTAGTTCATATTTAGATTCTGAATTGAAGCCCTATTTTAAGGTTCTTTACACACACACACACACACACACACACAGCAATTTATTGTTTCAAAAATGTAAAAGCAATGTTACACAGACCTCTTATTATGAAAATAGGTCAAAGGAGGAGGCAAGAAGGCAAGACCATTACAAAGAAGCATGAAGAAATGTTTGGAGTGATGAATAAGGTCACTGTCATGATTGTGATGATTATTCCTTGGATGTATTCGTACATCAAAACTTATCAAATTGTGCACTTTACATATGTGCAGTGTACAGCATGTCAGTTATGCCTCAGTAAAGGCTGTTAAAAAAAGAAGCAGCGGACCCTAATTCAGGTGCTGCCACTGTGCAATCCTCAATAGGCCATTTCACCTTCCTGGCCTCAGTTTTGTTCACTTTAACAGGGATAAAACCTGGTTTGCCATCACATTATTAGTTTAAGGTCCAATGATCTATATCTTAAAAATAATGTTCTTTATAAAACATTTTTTCTTATTATATTTTGATTATTTGCATTTTTAAATTTTTGTAGGTTACCTATTGTGTTGTAATTATCACTGAAAGATATCACATGGAACATTTGTATTAAGATTCACAGATAGCAACATGCTTAAGCACCAAAACTAGGCTTAACAAATAGGGTGTTACCAAACAATTTTGCAGAAAGAGTAGGAATTTGTAGGATTATAGACATTCCTTTATAAAATGTCCTTGTAGTATCTTGTACAGTCATAGTATTGCTACATTTTACAAGATAATTTTAATATGGTTATATTCTATAAAGAGTATGTATGTTAGATGATCACTGCTTAATATATATAATTACATTTTCCTTGTTACAGTCACTGACTTTTATATTTTAGATTGGTCCATGGTTCAGTAAGACACAGATTACAGTGGGAATGTCCTCCTGAAAATCTTCCATTTGATCCTCTTCTTATTACTTTAGCTGAGGTAAATATTCCATCTCTCCTTCATGTTTATGGAAAAAAAATCTTTTAAAATTGCATGAAATGTTATTTTGTAGCTTGTCTGTAAATCTTATTCAGTGCTTTTGAAAAAAGAAACAAATAATAAGCATTCAAACACTGTACCACCTTAAAAACTAATTATGGTTGTTACAGGTTTATTAGAAATTGATTAATCAGTTTTATAAATATGGAATTAGTATACATGAGGATTTGTAAATAGTGGATGAAATAGTCATGCTTAATTAAAAACTAAGTATGTAGAAAATGGAATCATAATGAGGAGGAAGTTTTATTGTACTAATCAAATCATGAAAACATCAAGGATTACATCTTAAAACTACATAAATTAATGATAATCGATTGTTCTGTTTCCATACAACCAATCGTTTTAACATGATGTGTTTCTTAGGAAATTGATACTAACTACTTAAATGTTGTTTTGGAGGAGTCTCTAGCTCTATGCTCTACTTGTACATTTTCAGTAAAATATCATGGAAGTGGTTTTTATAAAGCACTAAAAAATTTTTTTTAATATATTCCTTTATATAACATTTGTATCAGAAAAAACTTTGCTGGAGTCTTAGCTTCAAGTGAATCATTGATATTTTCTGTGAATTTTGTTCCTAGAGTTAGAATCAGAAGTTAAGAAATGAATTAACTAGTTGTACCATATTTAAACTTTTAGTTACTTGATTTTTTTAATAGTTAAGGATCATTTTGTTGTCATTGTTAAGAAACAGATGATTAAATTAGAGCTTTGATGATATTAATTTAAATAGGCAATGCCATGTATATAGAATGAGTCACATAGGATTAAGTGATCTAAGTAAAAATATGATAGTAAAAGAATTCAGATTTTTTTTTTTTTTTAATTTAAAGGAACCACTTGCCTTTCCTGTAAAACCAGTGAGGAGGGCCAAGTGGGAGCAGAGGAGGAACAAAGTAGATAATTATGCCAGTTGAGATTCCTTAATAATGAAACATCAAAAATCTCTAGTTCCTCCTTTACCCCTCCAAATGTGATTAATCTCTTAAATGGACTTATCAGTTACTAGCACATATTGCCAAACTGTTTCAGTGACTTTTTGCTTTTCTTAATTTATAGCTCAGCTTGTGGAATTATTTTTATATGGAGTATATTTTTATAGGTAACCTATTTTGAAATTCAGTTTTGATTAAAACCTTTTAAAGTTGGTATTAACAATGATAAAGTTTAGTGATGTTTCCTTAGTTCTTTTTGAAACTTTAAACCTTTTATACATGATAGCAAACTATTTTTTAAACTGATCAAAACTGATGATGTCTTTGAAAGCATACTACAGCTAATCGCAGGGTGCAGGGAGGGCTTTAATTTAGGTGTCCTTAAAGGGACTCTGACTTTAAAACACATAAAGCCAGCCCTTTTTACAAGTATTTTCCAAATACCAATGCTTTCATTTCTATATTGAGTAGATTTTTAGCTTTCCTCTCTACTCATTTACCAATGAGATAGTAGTGACAGAACTGCTATTGAAATGCACTTCTGCTTTTGACTTGGGATTCTTCATCTCTAAAATGAATAGGTACTCCAAACATCATAGAACCTGTGATCCAAAATGATGCCTATGTGTCTTTCAAAAGCATGATAGCATCAAGGACAGAAAATGTTTGATCACCGTTTGGAGATAGATAGTTAGGTCTAAAGGACGAATTATTAGAAAGTTAGTATTTCTGAGCATGACTTTGCAGCTGATTATACTTATTTACAGATAATTCACAGATAATTAGTAAAACTGACGGAGTTTGCTATTATTTGTATTGTTTTGTTTTACTTTGTTTTATCTTTTCAAAAAAGATGGCCCTTTTTTCTTGACTCATAGTGATATTGGTTAAATCATATAAGACTACCAATTGTTTCTAATGCATTTAGGGTGAAAAACATAGCGAGAAATGGTCTATGCAAGTCTTTTTTTCATACTTTTATTCATTCCATTGTTTAAAATGACATTTAAAATTTTACAGTGCTTTGTGCACATAGTACAATATTTGCCTTCTAAATATCTCAATATAAAATATTTAAATACAAAGGAAATATATTTTGAAACTCACTAAACAAGTTATAAAATCACCATAAAGGCAGGGGATCTAGTAGTTAATGTATTCATTAAGGAGTGGTTATAAATATACAATTTAGATTAATTTGCTGGGCTTTCAGACTGTATGGGAGTACCATACAAATTTTTTTAGTGTCCTAGTGAGGTTTTTCCCTCCTTTTTTCTCTATTTTTATTTGCCTTACTTTTCTTCCTTCTCTTCCTTGCTTTGTGCTTCCTTCCTACTTTCTTTTCTTTTTCACTTCCTTTGTTTTTTTGCCTCTCACTTCTTTTTTCCTATTCCTTTCTTATTTTTATTTTTCTTTGTCCTTCCTTCCCTTTTGTGGATAGAGATTCCTCTATTTCATGTACAATCAGCCCTCCCTATTCGTGGATTCCACTTTTGTAGATTCAACCAACTGCAGATCAAAACTATTAAAAAAAACCAAAAAAACCATGAAAACATAACAATACAATACAAAATAATGCAAATAAAACAATATAGTATAGCAACTCTATATGTAGCATTTATATTATATTAGGTCTTATAAGTAATCTAGAGATGATTTAAAGTATATGAGAGTATATACATGGATTATATGCAAACACCATGCCATTTTATATAAAGGACTTGAGCATCCACGGATTTGAATATCCACAGGGCTACTGGAACCAATCTCTCTCAGATACTTAAGGATGACTGTATTTCTTTGTTCCACATTTTCTCAGTGTGATTGAAATTGTAATTGCTGAAATTATATATCACGATTAGGACAATAATATTGATCAAATTTTTGATTTTTGCTTAGGCTAATAAAGATTTAATTTTTCTCTTATTAGTATAACAAAATGGGTAGTAAATCATGTTTTTTTTTGGCAGGGTCTGAGAGAGACTAAACATCCATATACCTTTGTGTCAAAGGAGGCTTTTAGAGAATTACTTTTGGTCAAAAGTGCTCCTGAAAAAACTGTTCCTTTGCTACCTAGACTGATTCCTGTACTGAAGGCAGCTCTGGTATGTCACTTATTTCATTGTGCTTTCTATTTCAAAACTCACGATAGAAAAGAAAGCTATAATATATTATAATATAATATATTATTATATTATATATGTAAAATATATTACACCTATTATAATATATGTAAAATATTTTATACCTTCTTTCCCCTTCAAATTATTTGTAAATTAGCACTTTACCTGTGGTTTTGACATATGTGAAGAATTAGGCCACTATTATTCAGGACCAGGTGATTACATCCTTGAAGATAGCTTTAGAGTATGTACTAAAGGTAAAAAGGGACATTTTGAGTAATTAGAGAAAGTAATGAACCTCAAGTCAGCCTTTCTGTATGCTAGATATATTTTAATTAATGCTCAATATGGGTGAAGTTTGTTTTTTGTTTCTCGATGTCCTGCATTGAGGGTTATTTTTAAAATTCTATGTTGCTGATTATCTTCTGATTTTAAATATTTAATCTTTTGTTTTTCCACCTGCTTGCCCTTTATTTTAACCCATCTTTCCTTTCCTTTTTTCCTTTCCCCAATGCCTCTGCACCCCCACCTAACAAATGCTACAGGTCCATTCAGATAATGAAGTGTTTGAAAGAGGATTGAATGCCCTGGTACAGTTAAGTGTTGTTGTTGGTCCTTGTCTAAATGACCATCTGAAACATCTGCTTACCAGTGTAAGTACTGCAAAGATTAGAGAGTGGTTGTATATATGTATCATGGACTATCCATATCTCTTTATGATTTAATGGTTTTAAATTATTCTTTAAATAACTTAAAACCTTTTAAAAAACCTCATCATCCTAACCAAAAAATATAGAGATTAAACCTAGTTGTTCATAAAACATTTTACTAATGAAGTTTTCTCTTTAATAATTTTTAATGGAAAGTGTATACATGAGCATAATTTAAGGTTATAATAAAAAGTTTGCAAAAGTTGCATGTGTAAAAATTGATGAACAGAATAATGGTATTGTGCTTATGTTAACTAGCTATGAATTAAGAGCAGTGCTCACATACTCTCTTGTGTAACTATGTATTACCAAAGCCGTGTTTTTGCATCTTTTTTTACTTACTTTTCATTGTGAGTTTTTAGTGAATCTGTAAATTGCATTCAAGAATAGACTTTTCCTGATATGTATAAGTTTAAGCCTTATCACAAATATACACTGACTGGGACACTCTGCAGTTCAGGAAGGCCCCAAGACTACCCTCAGGTTTAATGATTTGCTAGAAGGACTCACGGAACTCAGAAAAGCTATTATTCACTGTTACAGTTTATTATGGCGAAAAGATAAAGATTAAAATCAGCAAAGGGAAGAGGCACAATGGTGGTATCCAGGAGAGATGAGGTGTGCGGCTTCCAGTTGTCCTCTCCCAGTGGAGATTTGCAGACAGTACTTACTTACAGCAGCAATGTGTGGCAACATGCATGGAGCATTGCCAACTAGAGAAGCTCACTTGAGCCTTGGTGTCCAGGGTTTTTATTTGGGTCTGCCAGGCAGACCCCAATGCATGGCTATGTGGTTGGCATTAGTCTATAGCTTCTCTGGAAGTCAGTTAAGCTGATACCCTATGGCCCAAGGCCCCCACCCAAAGCCTCCAGGTTAACTCTTATCTGGCAGGAGATTCTGAGAGCTTAGAAGTTATCATCCAGGAGTTAAAGATAGGGCTCAGACTTTCTTTAGACAAGGGTACTCCTGTACTGCACACTGATATAAACATTAAAGTTCTGGCTAGGAGCATCCGCAGCTAAGATCTCTCTGCTTGCATTCTTGTATAGTTCTGAGCTGAAGCATGTATTTTAATCATGGTTATACCTTTCCAACTGAGGCCTTTTGAAGACATATGCTGGGATAGGTGGTCTTGTGGTTTCTAGTTTGATTCTTCTACCTGTCACTATTACTGGATTATTCATATAAATGCTCTGTTCTTTGTCCTCTCTTCCTTTTTTAATGTAGGAAAATACATGTTTTAGAGATTTAACTTTCTATCATAGTCTTCTAAATGCTCTTGCAAATTACAAAATGGAAAAGTATGCTATTTTATAGAAAACTTACTCCAGATATAATGTAGCAGATTTTGTAAGATTGGTATTGTTATTGAGCAAATGGACTGGCTGTACAATGTGCACAGAAGCCAATATTATGTGGCACTGGCTTTATTGCAAAACTGGCCATCAAGGAGACAGGAGCAGGCTTAAATCTGTCTCCCCAATTTGGAGTTGGGGAACGTTTATGGGCTCAGAGGGCAAGGGCAAGGGTTTAGGAATGTTGTCTTGACAGGGTTTGATTGGAGGGCTTCAAATTTGGCCATTTGTGGTAAGGTGTTTTGAGGCAGATTTTAGCCTTGGATCTTCTGGGCCAATGGACCCCTCATTCTGAAAGAGTTCCAGCGTTCAGGTTCTAGTCATGTCCTGGTCTTCTTGGTTCATAGGGAGGGAATTATTGGTTCCTGGTGGTGGTATAGTCAGAGCTTTTTCTATCGTGCATTCCAGGGCTATTTGACTTGCAGTGTTTGGCTATGTTTTATACCTACAGCGTAACTCAACATTTTGTTATCCACAGAGTAGGCCCACTTTGTGCTGGATCTATAGTTACAGTATTACTTGAAATAAAAACAAATTTAAATCTAAACAAATTAAGGAGTATTTATGAAGTTTTAATTATGTAAACGATGAACATTGTTACTTTTTAATATCATTTCATTTTTCCCCCAATCTTACTTTAAAAGCTTTCCAAGAGACTAATGGACAAGAAATTCAAAGAGCCAATCACCAGTGCATTACAAAAACTAGAACAGCATGGTGGAAGTGTAAGTAGAACATTATGCCTTAAGTCATGATATTTTTTTTTTTTACTTTTAGTCATATTACAAAATTGACTATATATTTAATATGCATTATTTCATTTTAGCCACAGGCAACCATGTGAAATTGATATTGTTATTTGCATTTTAGAGCTCAGAGTTTCTCTCTCCTGCCTAGATCATACCATTTTCAAGCACTGGTACTTGAACCCAGGTGGTGGAAATACAAGTTGTACACTTTCATGATACTTACTATATAGCAGTCTGTGTGGTTCAGTGTTAGTTTTTTTCTTTAAAGTACTTCAGATATTTTTGTTGCGACCATTAGAAAGTTCATAAAACCAAAGGATTAACTTAGAGAGCTCATTGAAGAAAGATACCTTTTCCTCTTTCATTTGCTGTCTTTTCTGCCTCAATATTTAGAATCTGCCGGGCGCGGTGGCTCACGCCTGTAATCCTAGCTCTCTGGGAGGCCGAGACGGGTGGATTGCTCGAGGTCAGGAGTTCGAAACCAGCCTGAGCAAGAGCGAGACCCCGTCTCTACTATAAATAGAAAGAAACTAATTGGCCAACTAATATATATAGAAAAAATTAGCCAGGCATGGTGGCTCATGCCTGTAGTCCCAGCTACTTGGGAGGCTGAGACAGAAGGATTGCTTGAGCCCAGGAGTTTGAGGTTGCTGTGAGCTAGGCTGACGCCATGGCACTCACTCTAGCCTAGGCAACAAAGCGAAGCTCTGTCTCAAAAAAAAAAAAAAAATATTTAGAATCTATCTATAATCAAAGATTGAAATGACTTCCAAATGACTGCACTATTTTGTCTGTAAACAAACACCTAGCATAGTCTTTACATGTATGTGTGCACGTACATATGCACACTCCAGTTGATTATCCTAACTTTTTAAAGTGTGAGACTATGGGGAATTGCATTACTATATGGTATCAAATCACTAGGTTAATTGAATTTTTATCATTTGAGAGAAGTCTTTAGATAATATAGTCTTAGAAATATTTCCATAAAGGAGTCTTATTTTTGGAGATTATGTTCAATTACATCTTAGTGATAGATTTGCATGTGATTGTCTTAACATTGTAGAACCTAGTTTCATTCTAGGTACTTTCTAAAGAAATTAATTATAAGAAAATCTGTGTGATTATATACAGTTTTAAAATATCATACATTTTAGTTTAAGCATTGCCTAAATTACCTAATTTGACCAATTTCAGTGACTTTTTATATTGATTATATTCTTTCCATGATGAATGCTTAGAATAAAGTTTATAAGAGGAGGAAGTACCTAAGCCTACTAGATAATGAATTGCTTTGTTGTGTTTGGTCCTAAGCAGAGGATTAGCATTCAGACCCCTTGTTTAGGGGATGTGCAGAACCATCCCTAGCTAATCCTGTGTGCTCTCTCAGCAGAAGGGAAATTATTCTTGCTTGCAAATGTGCTTTCTCTTTGCAGAATTTGAATGCAAAATATATTTGCCCTTTCTTCCCCTGTGAAATGCAAGTAAACAGATGCTAAATAATGATGGCACAGCTTTTGAGTCTGAAACTCTCCATAGGTGGTTTCCCATATCCTTTGGACCAGTATGGGAAATGAGACAGCTAGAAAGGGGAAGGCCCAGCATGTTACATTGCCTGGGGATGTGTGTGGGAAGAGGGATAGTTTGCATGTAAATAAAGTTTAGAAATAGCAGGCTAAGATTTGGAGAGGGAATACAGAGGGTATAGTTGACCAACCCAGGGTCCCAGAGATAGCAAATTTTTCTTTCAGAGTCACTCAATCTCATTAGCTTTGAGTCTTGCTAATATGGAATTAAAAAAAAAAAAGATTTTGTAGTTATGAGGGCTATTAAGTATTGTTTATTTTCTTCTGACTTTTCTTCTTGTTCCCTCCTTTTGTCCTTCATAATATTTTAATAAAAATTAAAATAATAGTAAGAACATTTTCTATTGCAATTACACGTCAAAGACTTTCTCTTAGCTTAACAATTGTTATGCTTGCTTTGGTACTTTGTAATCTTTCATGAAATTGATGAATACTCTTCTTTTCTAAGAACATAAAAGCTTTATATCTTTTTCTTTAAATGTTAGAAATATGTCTTTAAAAAAGATTGTTCTTAGTATTGCAGTTTCACATTTCTTAGGGTTTGTGTATATCACAATGATAAACTCAACTTCTGAGGAACAAAGATATCCATTACAGACAATCACTTTATTATTTTCTAAGTACTGATTTTTTACTACCTGCCTTAAATTGAAATCAGTTCATTCTTAGCCTGATTTAATTTTTTCTAAGTGATATGCTCATTAGTCTTGGGGGAGATACACACATACTTCAGTCTTTATTGAGTATGTGAGAACTTACTACGTGGCAGGTGCTGAAAGCTTTTCTACGTGAAAATCATTTAATCTTCAGAATCTTCAGAGGTAGATTTTTTTGTTATCCTCCTTTAAAAATCAAGAAACTGAGGCCCAGGGAAGTAATTAGCCCAGGTTTGACAGTGAAGTGACTGGTGGAAGCTGAATTCAAATATTGGTAGTCTGGCTTCTATTTCTTTAGTGCAATACTTAAAAAAAAAAAAAAAAACCCAATATTTATTTAACCGGAAAAAAAACATGTCTTACTCTATCATTTTGTTCTCCTCCCTTTTTGTTTGTTTTGAGTTTTGGACACTTTGTAGGCATACAGCTGAAAATATAATACCTATTAGGGAAACTCTGCCTGATGCTAATGATGCTAAATTTTTTTCTGTTGACAGGGAAGCCTTATCATCATCAAATCTAAAATTCCAACATATTGCTCCATATGCTGTTGAAGAAGGGAGCCAACAAAAATCATCTTACTACCTGGTAGCATGTGTCAAACGCTGACCATGGGTACCAGGGGAATTTTATTCAAATAGTTCATTTTATTCTTTCATAAATCACAACCACCATTCATTATTTACTAGATTAAGATGAGTGTACACAATCACACTAAATCATAGTAAAAGTTATTCATCAACAAAAAAGAACCATTAATAATGGAAAGCTATTAATATTAAAGAACTTCTATAATAGTAAAATTTTGTAGGCTTCATTTTTCATATTTTTATCATTTGTTTGAAGAACCGTTATTTCGTTTACAAGATAAGATGTGTTCGTATTTATTACCTAGTGCCTTTTTATTTATAACACCCTCTTTTGTAATCATTTTGTAGCTGTGCACTTATTTTTATAGATATTTTGTCATTTCTTGGGTTTTATATTTATCAGTGCTATAGAAATTTAAAATAGTGGACAAACATTTGTGAATACACTGTTAATTATTGATTGTAAATATGTGTTTATAATGTAGAATGCTTGGAAAATGTCTTTCCAGAGTATTCTAGTTTAAGAAATCTTTTTGACTGTGTAAATTCTATTACAAGTAAGTTGTTTATTACAACTTGTTAAAACTACCTAAACTTTGGGTGTTAATTATATTTAAGTAAATGTTATTTTTGCATTTTATAGTCAGAAAATGCTAATATACATATATTCAGAAATTAAAATCTTAAAACTCTTATATGCATTCAGCGATTTTGTTTTGCTTGCTTATTTTTAACAATTTGGTTTTTTAAAAAAGTTTTTTAGACATAATTTGCAGATTTAGTTTGCAATTTTGATGTAGTGGAAGCTAACTATAGGTTACTCTGCAAAGGAGAGTAGAGGAAGAGAAATAGAAAATAAGAATAAGACTTTATATCTTATGGACAACAAGAGAGGCCTACAGACTTGGGTAACCACACCAAATCTAAAGCAGACCAATATTTTGGAAAGGATGAAGGTGAGAGATCACTCTTATATGTGGAAGCAGCAAGGTTGTATCCCAGAAGCATCAGAGAATGCCCTTTCCTTGCTCTATCTCCCAAATGCTCAGAGTGACCTCTTTGCAATTCTCATTTCATATAGTCTCACAGCTGTAATGTGAAAGAAGGCAGGCAATTTCTGAGGAGTCTTAATGCAGAAATGCTTATCCTTCCTCAGAGCTTTTGTCCTTCCTGGGCCCTTTGTCTGGCACACCTTTTCCTCAGGTCTCTACTACCTTGTCATATCCTCAGATCATACTAGCTACCACAGCTGCCTGCCCACAGGCCTTGCTATTACTTGTATTTAGCACCACCCAAAAATATCTATGATCTCAAAAATGCCATAAGAAGTGATAATGTTTTTAATCTAGTAATTTACAAAATTTGTTAGAATAAAGACCTATAACAGACAGTAGAGTTATAAACATTTTATTTTGCTTTTATTTTTTCTTTTTGAAATACAAAATGTGCACATTGAGTTTACACAAACACACGATGGCAAATTTCAGTGTACATGTATTGTACTACTCTTAATTTCTACACTGGTGATAGCAGGGCAGCTTTCAACATCCTATCTCTACACCAGAATAGATACCTGATTTATTGTTGCAAAGACAGTTGCAAATTTCCTCCTACTGTAGCCTCTTGGTCTTTGTGATATTTCTACAAAACAGAGAAAGTGTGTATATTTTCAGTAATGCGGCAACTGTATAGTCTTGCTTAAGATCATTAGAATCTGGATTGTTGGAGTTTTATGATGAGCTAAATCATAATGTAATCCAGATGAGTTGTTCAGCACTTATATTCATTTTCTACTAAATCTTGATAGTAGCTCTCAATATAAGGTAATCCCTGGTGCTTTCAAAGTGAATTTTGCTTGCTGTTTGTTCCTAGTAGGCATTGGGGTAGCCAAGGTCTCTTTGTTCTTGAATTGGCTTGAAATATAAACATGCTATGCGGAAGTCAGGGGAAAGAGATGGAAATGGCCTTTAATGCTGTTAAGGATTACTTGTTATCAAGCATTACTATGTACTGGAGGACAGATACCCTGACCTTTTGCATACATTTGTAAACATCCTTGCTTTGTTTCATGCCTTCCTGAACTTCCACTTAATGACATGATAGAAAACGGCATGTAAGATTGAACAAATCCAAAATTATCTATATTATGTAGGCCTTTGTTGTAATATGTATTGTGGAAAATTAAGAAATGCTTATTAAAATAACTTTTATTAGGCATATGCTGATATGTGGTAATAAACTAATTTGTTAAATGTTATTAAAAATGCCAGATAAATTAATGTCTTTGATGATGGCAAATCCATAGAAACTGGGACTATGTAGGTTTTTTTAAACTGTGGTAATTTTGTTTACTTAAAGTATATAAATGGAATTACAGCATACAAACATGAAAATTAATTTAATTTCTGGAAATTAAATGCAGATGTTAATATTTTAGAAAATCATTTAAAATCGTAGGACTGAAAACATACAAATGAGTAGCAAAAAACACTAATATTTTAAAATCACTGATAGTGAAAGCCTCAATAATCCCATGGCTAAAGAATCAATAAAACTATATGCCAGATTCTATTACTTTTGAATATTCACAGAGTATGAAATGAGTTAGAACATTCCATGAACTCAGTGGCATTATGAAAAGGATGCAAATTTATTATAACTGGAAAACAAATCTTGTAGGGATTGCTTTATATTAAAACAAAGCTTATTTGCATAATATGCTTCAGTGTAAAGCTGAGCAATCTATGCTAAAAGTGGTAGCTCCAACTTTTAAGTAGAATAGTTCACATTTGTCTGTTGGATTGAGGAACTATTTGACAAGTTAAATCACATTTTCAAAGAGCTGCATGGAGCGCATTATGTTTTCATCCTGTAAGGGAGAAACAGAAGGATTACATTCAGCATATCTGCAAGGGAAAGTACACTATTTTGCTCCTAAGTGTTACTTCCTCCCAACAACCACCTATACCAAAAGCTCAAATACAAAGTATTTGCAAATGTAAACACCGTTCTATCCATTTTCCAAATAGATTACTACTACAAAGGACCCATTTTATGTTTTGTTGAGTCTACCAGGTATTAGACACTTTATTTAAATCATACTTGTTGTTAATAGAGGATATTTCTCAAATCTTAATGCCAAAAGGGAAACTAGAGAGGCACAGAGGTAAGTCAAAGTGAACAAATGAGAATTCTGGCATTCCACGTAGATCACAGACCAAATCCTAGTAACTTTTTATACAGGTGCAAGGAAACAGAGATTGCTTGTGAGCTAAGACCCAAGTCTCCATGGGATTGGAGGTAGGGGCTTGGGAGGCAGGATGATGGATAAAAGGGAACAGGTTTTCAGTAATTGCATCTCTTTTTATGTCTGCTAGTTATGGCTAAATCTGTATGAATGCCAGAGAAAAGATTTGTTGGGAGAACTCATTGCCCAGTGGCTATCTTAAGTTTAGCATATTTCTTAGAAGTGAACTAAAGGGACAGACTTGGGGCATTACTGGTGCACTGATCAGTTGTATGTGAAGGGCAGCGAGCTGTTTATAGTAAGGAGGAAATGGTGACTGAACCAATAGTGGCTTCCACCGCTAGAAACAAAGTAACGTCACCATTTAGCAGGTTGATGTCACCAAGTTAATTCCCTGAAGACCCCACCTCGAAATCCAAGTTGAGAAACAAGCAGGCATCAGGAAAGTTGAGCAACAATTTAAAGAGAAGCTAAAGCACCAACAGACTTCTTTGTCTCTGTGATTATTTTAAAAATTCTTAATTGTGGTTCTACCCACACATCAAGTTAAGTAATTCTAAGTAAGCTAACACTGGTTTCCCAGATGACAGGTAACTCCCCAGATTTCTCTTCTGAGAAAGTTTTCCACAGTTTATTTTTTGTGACTGGAGACCTTTACTGGGTTTAGCCAAAAAGCCATTTCTTATTCACATACACTAAAGCAATGCTATTTTTCTTAGAAATCAGGTATAATCTTGGCCTGTGATACATACCGTACTTGGCTGTATGGGAATTGTAAATCTACGGAGATATGTTATATAATATACATGTTATATGGAAACTCTGGGAAAAAAGCAATTTAAATCTCCCATATGCGAGGTCTGTCTGGAAAGTATCCAGCCATGTAATATATTAACAATGGCTGGATACTTCCCGGACAGACCTCATGTGTTTTATCTTCAGTGATGAATACTCTGTAAAGGATTTGGGAAACAAAAACACAGTATGTGTAAAACTTTTATATACTCAGGGCCTCGTAGCCAGCCTACCTGAGAGCACGCTCTCACGTTGCTTTGTTGAATGTGTAAAGTTTTGTTTTCGGACTGCTAGGCTCATCTCGCCTGTTGCAGAAGTGGTGAGCTTAGGCATATGATCTTTATATAATACTTTGCTCAGTTCATGGTAGCTAGCTGGCAATACTCAGTTTAGCTCTTATGAAATCAAAAGGGATAGTTCTTTTACTTTCATTACTTACTTTTTGGCAACTTTCGATGAACTCATCTATAGTAACGACCCCATCTTTATTTTTGTCCATTTTCTGTTCAGAAAGGAAAGAACAAAATGTGTTATACAGACTTACACCTTGATACCCTCACACCTGAACTGAATGAGCTGCAGTTGATGAAGAGAAAGCTCAACTGCTCTTTTTATATGGAGAAACTGCTTATAGCAGAACCTAGTAATAGTATCTTAGAGATAAGAATCACATGGCGAAATCTTTTAGGCCGCTTCTTTTCGGTATAATGTGGTAAAGATCTAGCGTTTCTCTGCCCCAGGTAAAATCCTGCCTTCCCTTAAAAGATACGACAGAGCTCAGGCAATTTGCTGACACTTTTAGAGCCCTGCTTTTCTCATTTATAAAATGGGGTTCATGGGGATTTATAGCCTCACAGTGTTCTTGTAAGAATTGAATGAAAACAAAAAAACTTGTGAAACATGAGAATTGCTTAGTGTCCTATCTAAGCGTTAAATTCAAAAACCAAAATTATTAGATTACTAGGATGGTAAATATTCTATTCTTTTATCCCTTCAGTAAAAAATCTTTTCTTTTGAATCACCATGACACTCTTCAAACATCAAGAAATTTTCCCTTAATGACTCCTTGACTTTTATTTTCTTTCTTACCTGGAAAAATGTTTCCACATGTTGTCTAGGAGCATCTTCTTTGAGGACAGGGTATGTACATTTCCCCATCATGTCATATATTGCTTTCATTATATCAAGCATTTCCTGAAAAATAAAAGGCACTCACACGAGGCTGCACAGTATATGAAAAAAACAATCTAAGAAGCTTTGACAGGTTTTTCCTACTTAATTTAATTTTTTAAATTTTCCTTTGATTCTTCGTTAGATGACTTTTGGTTGATCCAAAGGAAAAGGCAACAAACCACTTTCTGCCTTAATAGCACCAGAATCAGAATGTAAGAATCAATTCTGATCTTGGTTTCAAAATAAATCAAATTTCTATGTATCTAACATGGTCAGGAAAGAAATACTCTGGTTTATCTTTTGGGTTTCCATAGGCTTTACATAGACAATCTTTGTTTTATTGAGTTATATATCCTGAATGTTGATTACTAATTTCCACTTATTGAGAATGAAATATACTGCACACCATACATTGAGAATAAAATAAACTCCATTTAGAATTACTGAAACTAAGTCTCAAAGCTCATTAGGATTTTCTTTGTGCTTTTTTTTTCCTGCTATGGCTTTAACTGAAGAAGTCATGCATGAAGACTAGTCAAAATATTTTGACCTTGGGAAACACCTTGACATTTTTTTAATAACATAAAATCTAGTTTTTGCCTTGTCATTTTCATTCTTATGAGAGTAAAAATAATATCTATTAATAATTACTTAGATATCCAGATTTATTGTTTCACATTTATTTCATATAAAAAGTCTCTGGGTTAGGTTGATAATAAAGATCTAATATATATTTAATTTTAGAGTATCCAATTCTGTTATAAATGATAAGTTTGTAGTTTGTAAAACAGGTGAGATCTTTTAAGATGTTTTGAGTATAAATAAGTAGCAAGAAGTTTGTTAGAATTCATGAGATAGAAAGAAATCAAAGGACCAAGAATACTTAATATTGCTGAGGCACCTGGGTAACAAATATTCATGGTATACAAAATACACAGGAATCACTATCTAGTCATGATAAGCTCCACACACATGAACACTTAATAGTCAGGAGGTCTTAATATGGCACCCATGGATAACACCTATTCTGGCCCCATGTGTCCTCTGTTTAAGAAACACAAATGCAACCCATGACTACTTATGCACCAGGCACACTTGTCCCTGTGTCTTTCCCATAGAGCAGGTTCATGGCATTGGCCATTGGCACCTTTTGTCTGTGAGCCCCTTGCTCAAAACTCAACTCCAGAGAAGGTCAGTGAGGCAGAGAGAAAGACAGGACACGGGAACATTGAACATGCCCAGGATTCAGGGAGTGTGTGGTCTTTCAATGCCACTTGTACTGTATCATAAGCATGGTTAATTTACCCGATCCCTTTCTTTTGCTTCTGTGTTTTTAATTGATTTGATAAACTATGGATATGAGTGTCTTAATTTGGTATGTAAGCCTTTCTTCTCAGACAGTCTGCCTCAACGTTTATTTGGAGACCCCACCATTCCCCATCAGATCATCCCATAAGCCATATGATTATAAAAATTGCATTTCCTTATGGATTACATGATATTGGGGGAGGGAGAAGGTTTCAGGCCAAATATTCGAACAGGTTTGGATGCATTTTCTTTCCATCTGATTCCAATCACAGTCTTTATTCCATTCATAGTATTTATTAAGATGCCAGTAGTAAACAAGGGTGTAAACCTTATGTGTTATATGTTTGCTTTGGAGATTCACCAGAAACTATCCCTATCCATTCCAAATTTTATATCATAATACATCTCTCATCCACCACCATATAAAATGTTTTAGATTTCCTGGCAAAACTATTTTCAATTTAATTGCAATTGTTTAATATTTTAAAGTCAAGAAATGAAAATGGTCCAAACGATAGCTGTGTTGGTGAGGCATTCCTTACCTCTTTAGTGATGTAGCCATCTTTATTTATGTCATACAAATTAAATGCCCAGTTGAGTTTTTCTTGTACGGTCCCCCGGAGCAAAATGGAAAGACCTTTGATGAAATCCTAAAACAAAATAAAAATAAGAATACAATTTGATATGACATTTCTAAAAAACCAGAACACAAACTCTAATAAAATTATCTCTCAAATAATGGAAGAAAGAGTTATAACCCTCCAGATTTTCAACCATTTATTTAGCACAATGATTGTGTCCTTGATCGTCTGTTTCTCAGAGTTCTGTGTAGGCATAAACCACTTCTTAGCCTTAACATTCTCACCTTATAATTGCAAGTTGCGAATTAAATTGACCATGGTACTGGAAATTGTATCAGAATGGACACCTACACAGTAAGATGCTTGAGTATAAGTGCTATTGGTGTTCCACTACAAGTGCACACAATTTACTGAAAAGAATCTAATAACACTGTATTTTTAAAAATATAAGCATAGACATAAAACATTTCCAATAAAAATATTTGCTAATGAGAAATGCAGCTGTCCTTAAGAGGTAGACCAATTGTAGTCTTTAATTAGAAATCTAGTTATAATTTACACATGGGCAGTGGTTAGGAACATAAAGCTGGAAACCAGAGTGCCTAGATTCAAATCCAGCTACATCACTGAATAGCTTTGTGTCCTTGGGGAACTTAACATCATTTTTCCTCAATTTTCATATCTGTAAAATACATGTATAGTATTAATAGTATACACTTAAAGATTTTATGAGGATTAAAAGAGTTAGGCTGCTTAAAACAGTTCCTGGCAAGGGCATCAGATATGTGTTAAAATGGAGCCCTCAGCTTGTATCCTGGTTAAGCTGGTTTGCTTTGCAAACCAGCCACATTAAGTTGATCATATTCATATATATCTGTTGTTATGTAGAGCAGGGCTAACAGTACAGCTGAATTCAGAGTCCACAATCCAATTTTAGGTAGGAATGAAAGCAGAAGGAAAATTCAAAAGTGGCCTTCTGGGCGAATTTGCATTCTCTCACTCCTTTCCCACATTTCATCATTTTACAGCTGTTTTTTTCTGTCCCTGTTTCTTAAAATGTATGTATGTGTGTGTGTGTATATGTGTTTAAATAGGTAACATTTATATGGTTCACCATTTAAAAACAATGCAAGATGTCTGGAAAAAATCTTCCCTTCCTGGACCTGTTCCTTTCACCATAGATAATTGGCATTAGTAGCTTGTGTTTACTTCCAATGAATTTTTGTGCATATGTAAGTATAAGATCTGTTTATGTGTGTGTGTGTGTGTGTATATACATATACACACACACACACACACACACACACACACATATATATATATATATATATATGTTCCTCTCCCTTTTATGCAAATGATAGTCTAACAGACTGATTTGTACTTAAATTTTTTTTCACTTTGCATCAGGGAAACAACTCCAGTCTTTTTCACCACTGTACTGTATATATGAGTATACTATAGTTTATTTAACCATACAGTTCTTTTACATTTATACTTGTATTTATTTCTAGGTATGTTAATTTTTCTGTTGCTGTTATAATATTTCCTTCTATTATATATTCTGTATTAGTTTTGTTTGTACATATCAAAGCCATTGATTTCTGGATAATAATTTTTTCCTGACAATTTACAGTTACTATAGTATAAGTTTTCTCCTGGGTTTTTCATGTATGCAATCATATTAGCTGCCAATGGGGTTAATTTTAAATCTTTTTACAATATTTATGTTTACTTTCTTTTTTTACAAATGTGTGATCTAATACTTCTAGACTAGAGCAATGATACATAATGGAAATGATAAGAGATATCCTTATTTTGTTCCTGAGCTTAATGAAAATATTTCTATTATTCCTTTTTTAAGCATGATCCTGACTTTTATCATGCTAAAGATGTATACAACTATTTCAGTTGAACAAATTTATAAAAAAATAGCCATTGACCTTTTTTGCATAAATGAAAAAAAATGGACAAATTCACATTGCAAGGGGCCCTGAATTGCCAAGACAATATTAAGAAAGAAAAACAAAGTTAGAGGATTTACACTTCCCAATCTCAAAACTTAGTACAAATTTATAATAATCCAAACAGTATGGTACTGGTATGAAGACAGAAATATAGAATGGTGGAATAGAATTGAGAGTTCAGACATAAACCCAGCATCTATGGCCAACTGATCTTCAACAATGGTGCTGACACTATTCACTAGGGAAGGAATAGTCTCTTCAACATGTGACACTGCAGCAACTGGACAGCCTTACTTACTCTACACCCCATCTTCATTCAGGGTAGACTGTCAAGTGAGAGAAAAAGAGGATTCAAGAGAAGACCACAATTCCAGTATTTAATAGGTAAAGAGAAGAGAGAAGCTGGCAAAACATCTTGAAAAGAAATTGCTAAAGAAGGAAGAGGAGGCTTGGCGTGGTGGCTCCTGTCTATAATCATAGCACTCTGGGAGGCAGAGGCAGGAGGATCACTTGAAGTCAGGAGTGTTCAATATCAGCCAGAGCATGAATGAGACCTGGTCTTTACTAAAAATAGAAAAAATTAGCTGGGCATGGTAGTGTACACACCTATAGTCTTCCAGCTACTCGAGAGGCTGAGGCAGAAGGATTGCTTGAGCCCAGGAATTTGAGGTTGCTGTGAGCTAGGCTGACACCATGGCACTCTAGCCCAGGCAACAGAGCAAGATTCTATCTCAAAAATAAATAAATAAATAAACAAATAAATAAATAAAAATAATAATAATAATAAGAGGAGTGAGGAGAAGAGAGCATTTCACTAGGAAAGGATTGTTCATCTGGATACAAACTATTGCTGAGGACTGAAAAGTGTTTGTCAGACTGGCAGCACTGAGGTCACCAGTGAGTAACAGGAAAAGTTTCAGTGTAATAGAAGAAGTGAAGAGTGATTTTTAATGATGAGCACTTTGAATACTGAAGGGAAGAATCTAAAAAAGAATAAGAGTAAGAAATGGACCAAGACTCCTGAAAAGGATCCAGAATGTAGGTAGATGGTCCAACCTGTGAAGGAAGAAGACACATTTCCTCAGTAGGTACAGGAGAAAGAGGGAGAATATGGTGCAGATGCCAGTAGCTGATTTACTGGTAGGAAGATGAGTGAGTTTACATCTGATAGCTTTTGCAGGTGTATGCTATTTGGGAGTGAATAGTCTGGTTAGAATTGGATGCTTGAAGAGAGAGAAGGAGGAAGCTCTCTATATATCTGTAATATGTAATATGCTGGAATTAAGAGCTAATGACACCCTTTGGAGTTGTGCAGTATACATCTTGCACAACTATAAAATTGTACAACTTAAAAAGCTTTGGCTTTTTAAGAGTGTGTAAAAGAGTCATTGCAGAGCACAGAGCCTTGTTAGAGGAAGATAAGAGGGTGAACAATTTGGAAAGACTAGATTAGGCTGGTGGTTATTAACGTAAACCCTATCTTTTTCTTCAATTCACAAAGTATTAGTTACATGCCACTAATTGAAAGGGGAGCTGGATACAAGGTCTTTGAAAACATGTTTGGAGTATTAGCTCTCAAAATTTAACATGCAACAGAATCACCTGGAGGGCTTGCTAATACACTGGTTGCTGAGCCCTAGACCGAGAGTTCTGATTCATTAGGTTGGGGGGTGGGGTGAGAATTCATGTCAGCAAGTTGTAAGGAGATGCCTACGTGGCTTCCAGGGATCACACTTTAAAAACCACTGGCCTACAGGAATCATTATTGGCATTGGCCTCACCACCAAACAAAGCAGACCAGTCACAAGAAAAGATTTAAAAATAGCACTTTTAAGTCAAGTGTGGACTTTTGTCTTTTTCCTGTCTAGTGGGCTCCAAAATTCCTTTTGGTGCTCCATGCTGTTCTGCAGAAGCTCACTCCATCTCTGGCTCTAGTGATGGAGTCATGATCTGGGCAAAGTCAAGAAGCACATTTTTATTCCTTTGGCCAAGATAACTGGATCTGTGATGGAATGTGGCCAAACCTAGTCCAATTCTAAGAATGATTCTCTGGACTCTCGAACTCCTGCTAGGAATGGCAGGACGCAGGTGATCTCCCTTGCCTGCTCAACAGGAGCTGCTGGCCTCTTCTTCCAGCCATATGGGTCCTGCCCTTATGCCAGAGCCAGCCCTATCTCTGGACTTTTTGTTCCTGTGAGCCAATAAAGTTATCCTATTCTTTTTGTCACTTAGTGTATGATTTTCTAATATTTGTGAACAAAAGTAAATCGATTCACGTGCTGACACTTAATTCATATCTTCCCCTTAAATATTATTACATATATCCTGAAACCACTTACATTACAAGATAGCTATGGACTTGGATCAGCCCTTTCTATCTTATGGGATGGTATCAATAAATAGTAATTTCAAAACAAGAATGACTATTTCATGCAAAAGAAAAATGGGAAACTCAATGTGGCTTATATGGTTTTTGCTCCACACTTTTTTGAGTGGTAATTGGAATTTCTCAAGCAGAAAGTAGCAATCTTAAAATAACAACAACGATGACAACAACTCTCAAAGAGTACTTTGTACAATTACCTTGTGCATAGAGGTTACCTTTGTCCTCAATGCACAAAAATGATGAGGTGGAGGTCTGTATTGAATTTTGGTTTCCATTCTCTTATTATCAAGGCAAAAGAGAGAAAAAGGCATAGAGATTTGGCCTGCACTTGTTCAGTTGTGAACTTTATCCATCTACCAAACCTTTACTGAGTGCCTTAGTGTTGGTCATGGAATTTCCTTGTAAGAACAGATATAAAGCACTAGAAAACAAACTAAATGTGGCTTGTAATTTATACTTCTTTTGAAAGATAAGGGCAGGTTCTTGGCAATTCTGTAAGGGAAAGAAAGTGGTTCTTGGGCTTTTTAATTTCCCCCCTATTCAAAAATGATCAAATCGCCAAACTCACATTTTTCCACTAAAAAGACTAAAATCCCTTTCACAGTGTCTGAAGTCAAATGATATGAAAACAGCCTCGGGCTTACCTCGAAACTCACAGCTCCGTTGTGGTCCGTATCAAAAGCATTGAACAGAAAATGTGCATATGTTGTAGAGTCTGAAATGTTAAACGGGATAGCAGTAAGTCAGTATTTCCACATCCTGCATAAGACTTGCACAGCAGTTCTGAGCCTCCTTTAACTCAGGAAAATTAACTCCACCTCCCACAGCTCATGCTTTCTTCCCAGCTGCCCAGCCTCTTTCTGTAGAGGACCAGAATTTGAGATTCACAAGAATAAGTGGCTACAAAGAGGCCCTTGGTAACAAACACGATCTGTGAGTTTCTGGCTATAAATGCTCTGAACACACGGGATCTGGGTGACAATACCAATATTGGGACGAGAGATGGTCCCACAGGTGGATGTGAGGATTGAGCGAGATGTGTTGAAAAATTGCTTAGTGTTTGGCAGACACTGTCTCTAGAAGTAAAGTAATAAAAATACCATGAATGACACAAAAATGAGTTGCTATTATTAGTGTTCCTGCCATTATTAGTACTTTCATCATTGTTACAACTCAGATAAGGACATTGGGACGCAGAGAGGTTGAGCAACTTGCCCAAAGTCACACAGTTAATGAGGAGTAGATCTGGAACATCGACTCAGATCTTTCAGACCTTGAGAACCAGGCTAGCCCACAGACAGTAAAGTTGGCTGATGGGTTGGGATCAGTGGTGTCTTGGATAGTTTCTGTGACAATGTTGGAAGGGGACTGGTGGTTCCCAATTGCATCTGATAGGGAGGGAGCCCTACTCTATCTGGGTCCTGGGTGGGGCTCCACCCAGATAGCAGTGGACAGGTATGGACGGCTCTCTACCCATAATGCCTCAGGACTTTGTCTAATGACACCAATGTCCTCAGGAATCCAATATGTCTTCTTAGTTTGCTTCATTTTTTTCTGCCTTCCTCTTCTTCTGGCTCTCCTATGTCTCCTTAATCTCTCTGCTTTCTGTCTTTTCATTTTAAAGGTCTGTATTTTTTCTTATTGTTTTCTTTTCTTCCTGCCCAGCTTTCATCTTTAAGTGCTTTTGTACTTGACCCTTGATCAAATTTACACGATTATTTTCAATGTTTCATCTCATGGGCCTTAGCCTTTTATCTTAACCTTTTTTATCTTTAAAAAAAAATTGTAACCTTTTGGCTCATTGGCTTTCTAGCTTTTTATCTTCTGTTTAAAAATCTCATCTATTTCTATTTTATAACTTTTAACCTTTATTTTTATTGCATTTTAACATAACTTCTATTCAATTTTTATTTTATGAATTGCTTTTTAAAGACTGTCAGGAAGCAAAGGCAGAGAATTGCCATCCCCAAATAAGAGAGGTCAGAGGTCATCTAAACCTCCTTCTGGGCTCTCAGGGCCCATAACCTAATGATGGATTTTTTTTTTTCTAAATGCTTCACTGTAGTGGTAAACATACTGAAGGCCATACATATTTCATTAGGCTGATCATATACTTACTCAGTTTCTCAAAATGATGGTAACATCTGCTCTCATCTCTTACCTTTAACTATGGTATGAGGAATCCCTTAATTTTAAACATGTGACTTATTAACACTTTTCAGTGAACTAATCAGTAACCAAAATAGGGTCTAAATAATGTGTGGAAGTGTTATATCTAGAGTGGATGTCCATCTAGTACAGATTGGTTGAGGGGAAGAAATCCTTTTAAATATGGAGCCAGGTGCTCAATTGCAATCAACATAGTGCTATTGTTGGGGCATTATCAAGAATTGGCAGCCTGTTTCTATTTGCAAAGTTGTTTTGCTCTCAACAGTATTTTTCAGACTTTTTGAACTATTTAGAACCCTATGGAGATGTGTGTTGATAGGTGATATATTAAACTTGTTTTCAGAGGAGGAAAAAAAAGAGATTTTGCATATTTTATAATGAGCTTCATTAAGCAGGTCTCTTGTTACCATGTTTATACAATCAGGGTAAATGCCCCTACCTTAGCAAGCAGAACTCACCATAAATAATGGCTCAGAACAAATGATGTTTGCAATTTTTTAAAATTTATAAAACAGGATAACATGGGCATGTGATAATGACTATTCTCAAATGGAATTTCTCTAGCTTTAAAGCTTGACATGTGGGAATTACACCCTCTAGGTTTACAATAATGTGGTATAGACTTCTTAGTCTTCTAAATGTACCTTGGCAATTCTTCTAGAAGTTAAACCAGTTTTCCAGCCTAGATAGTCTATACAGAGAGCTTTTAATAGTATAGTGGAGTCAGATTGCATGGATTTGAATCTCAGCTTTCTCAAAGATTAATTGCATAATCTTGGGAAAATTGTTTAATATCTCTCTGTGGCTCAGTTTCCTCATCTGCAAAATATTACCAATACCAATATGTACTTCACAGAGTCCTTATGAAGTTTATATGAAATACTACATCCAAAATGTTTACAATAGTCCTAGGCACTTATTAAATTTTTAATAAATATAATAATAAATATAGCTATTATTCTTCTTTTACAGATAAGCTATTCTTATTTCAACTATTTTAACCACTTCAGTACGAGCGTTGACTATAGTCCATAGCCACAGATGAACCAAGCATCGACTTTAGCCGACAGCTGTGATATGACTTTTCTAATTTTTCATTTACCAAAATAAAATTGTGAACATTTAAAAATAATGTAATAAAAACATATATGTATATGTTACCTAGTCTGATTTCCATTACAAGTAAAGCTGCCTGTAAAGTAAAACAAGCTTTCAGTGTTTTAAAATTTTCCTCATCACACAAGAGCAAAACGGATCCGTCGTCAATGCACAGCACAAACTGCTGTGCGGACTATGAGTGCCGGCTGTGGGCCAGGTCTCGCCCCCGGTGAGTGCAGTACCGAAGTGGTTTTAAAGAAATGTGATCAAATCTTTTACAAATATAACATTTTTTTCACCCAAAAACATTACTGTTTTTGTGGGATTTCTGTTATATTGTCTAGGTGACAGGAGTTCTAATTTGATGCAATTTCACACTCAACACATGCCGGTAGGATTGTGTCATGAAAAGCAATGAGCCTTCTGATGCAGTTTGGATTTCTTCTGGCAGGCATTTGCGGACAATGAAAATTTTTAAACGAGAGAAATGAAGGTACGAGCTCAGATTGGGCAAGAGGAACAAGCTAAGATGGAAGCTTGAATGGAAGCTAGGCACAAAGGTGGATAGAGTGAGGAAAAAAGACGATCCATGAAAGCTTCTATGTTCTGGTTTCATTCAACTGTGTTCTTAGGCACTCAGTAAATATTTGTTAAAAGAATGAATAACTGGTCTCCTGGATTCTAGATTTCAGTTCAGTTCAGTGCTCAAAAGATAATATGATGATCTCTCTTCTCCCCATATGACCTGATGGTCTTTTATCACAATTCCTTACATAATGAAAATAGTTACTGAGTTTGTTAAGCTAAGATTGTGTGTAGGTCTTAGAATTTTACTTATGACATGGAAATTTTGCAGGTGGGCAAAAAATACTCTAAGTTCTTAGGATAGGAAGATAACTTGGATATTATTTAGCAATTTATCTACATTTCACAAAGGTGGAAAATAGGTTGCAGGCATTTTAGTGATTTACTAAGGTTGCCTTATTGGTTAATGGTAGAGTTGGTAATGAAAGCAAGACATTCCAATACTAACTCTTAGAAATAAAGAATATTAAAGTACTAAGAAGAGGGAAGAGAAGAGAAGGAGTGAGGGACAAACAATTACCTGTTGGGTACAATGTACATTGTTCTAGTGAGGGCACACTAAAAGCTCTGACTTCAGCATTATATAATTCATCCCTGTAATAAAAAACACTTGTACCTCTAAATCTATTGAAAGAATAATAAAAAAAGAATGTTAGAATACCAAAAAAACCCCAGGATTCTTTTGGACTGACTCCTACATTTTACAGAGGACAACCTGAGGTCCAGAAAAATAAACCACTTGAGGTCACGTGCCTCAGTGGTGGCACAAACTCAGGACTCTAGCCTTAGTCTACTGTCCTTAACCCAATTTCCAAACCACAAGGATGATCCCAACTAACCCTTGAATTAGTTTTTCAGACTATTTGAACAAATACCCTTGATTCTCATGTCTCATATTTGTGGTGTCAAATTAATCTGGTTAATTTCTTTCTCCCCACTCCAAAACCCTACTCCCACCTGAATTCAAGCACAAGGTACAGAATTTGTTTAATGCGTTTGAATATACAATTCATGGCATTGTTACTGTGTTAAGGCAGATTCATATGCATGAATAGTACTTTCTGTCAATAAGTCCTCTATAAATTATCCTGAAAATGGTTAGAAATATTTTCCTAAGACAAGAATAATACTCAGGGGGTGGGGTTTTTATTTGCTTTATTTTAATCTTTATGTGCAGAGAACCCACTAAGTAATTCAAGTGCCTTGCATGTAGCAGCTGCTCAATTAATGCTTGTTGACTTGACTTGAGCTCATCCATTTCTTCTTTTTCTCAATAACTGTTTAACAGGTGCCAAGTGCAGTCAATGTGCATGCAAAATTCCTACAACACAAGCAGGGATAGCCCAGGAAAGTGCAATTTTTATAGGCATTTAAGATATTTAGTGAGCTAAAAGCTTACACGCTAAAACTTTTACTGTATGCACGGTTGAAAAAATATTGCTGTAACCATACAGACAACAGCACTCACAAGTCATTTCCTCTCTGCTTGCTTTATAGCAGGCATATTTTATGCCCTGCAAACAAGAGGTTTCTGTTCAGTCCAGTTGTGCTGACATCTAAAACACCAGACTAGTTGTGCTTAAACTGTCTCACTAAGCAATAGAGAAAGTTAAGAGCCTGACACAATACAAACTGCAGGTGATTCTGTAGATAAGACAAAGCGCTTTCCTGGAGGAAATGGTGAGCAGTTGCGATTTACAAACCCACTGTTGTTACTGTTCATAATGGGAGATACCTGTTGTTTTCAGACCATCAACCCAAATAAATGATGACTCTGTAGAAGTGCGAGGATACGCACAACATGAATTTGGCTGCCATCAGAGACTACATCCTGCCTTAGGACATTTGTCCTTTTCTGGCCTCATGTAAGAAACAGTTGGCATGCATGACATTAATTTTTAAAATTGCAAATCATCATTCTTTAAAATATTTCATTTCCTTTGGTAATTCCTCATGCTTTTAGATTTATGCATTCAATTAACATGAATAATCAAAGAATTGTTAAGAGCACTAAAGTGATTTTTTCCTCAAATCTCCTTAGATTTTGTAACAAGAATCCTTTGCAAAGTTGGTGTTCTTTACTCATGTAGATGTTCTCTGATGTGGAAATGTTATACTTCAAATAAAGATAAAATTTTAATATGGAACTGTATCTAATTTACACCATGTAATAACTTTATTTGAAATAATGAAAAATAAAGATTTCCAACTGTGTTGGTGTTTTGATATTAATGCCTATTGATATGTTGGTAGACACTCAGATGGTAAACATGATTTTTCTGAAAAAAATCCCATGGGTTTTACATAATTTAGAAATAAATGAGGTAATTACATAATATCCCAAATTAATCTTTCATTAATGCAGACACTGGGCCCATTACAACTCTGGCATCGGGAGCCATAACCAGTGGTTATCTGTGGTCTCTTAGGACAGACCTTCCCTGTGCATAAGATGGAGTGGAGCCATAGTCACCCACATATATCCAACTACATGTAATAATGGGCTTCCCTATGTTTTCTCAAAACTCTAATTTAATTATTTTAAAAGACCATCTTTAATAAAAATATCTGTTTTGACAATTTATGCACACAATTATCTCAAACCTACTAACATACCTGCAATCAAATGAATTAAAAACCAAAAGGGGATCTAAATTTGTATGAAACAACTAATATTTAAGTGGCATATACTTTTCAAAATGCCATTTGCACATATTATTCCAATGTACAGTTATGACCAACAGGTGAGGTGGGTTCATTCATTCATCAATATATTAATAATAAGTATTTAATCAAGTACTGTTTCTTGTAGGTCACTGTTCCATGGCCTGTGGATACAACAGCAGATAAAGTAAAGGAAAACCTCTGTTCCTTTGGAGCTGACATTTCGGGGGGGGGGGTAAGACAATAGAAAACAACAATATAAATATATATTATTAGATGGTCTTGAGTGCTGAGAAGCATAAACAGGGAAAGTTCAAGGCAAGTGAAGGTCTCACTGAAAGGCAGCATTTGAGTAAAAGGTAGTGAGATATTGAGAAGATATTTGGGAGAAGAGGATTTCAGGCAGAGGGAACAGCAAACTCAAAGGCCCAGGAGCAGCACCCTGGCTGGTGTGCTGGTGGGATGGTGGGGGCCAGTGTGTCTGTGGCGGAGTGAGTCAGGTGGGAGAATGGTAAAGGGACAAAGGACAGTGGCCCCAATTTATAGGCCACTACATAGGCTGTGGCTTATGCTGTGATTGGATGGAAGGTTTCGAGCTGAGCAGCGACGTGATCTGGCCTGCATTTTAACAGGCTCACTCTGGCTCATTTGCAGAATGGACCATGGTTGGAAGAGGGGGTGTCGGAATTCTAGAGACCAATTCAGAGACAGCTGTGGTTTCACTTTGGCTGGAGATGATGGTGGCTTCTTTAAGTGGAAAGGGGTAAAAAATATGTTGGCAAGGTCAATGACAGAGTAGCTCTGGCCATGACCACAGAGAGAAGCAACAATTGCCTCTTGTGTTGAGGAGAGGTCAAAGTTTAAGTGAAGGACTAGATGGTCCCCTTCCTATTTGGGGTAAAGCCTTCTTCCTCAACTCCTGGTTCACATCCTCCCTCTACCCCATCCCTTACTATCTCCTCCAGGTCTGGATTCTACTCATGATTTCTCCTCTGTCTTAAGCCACTCACGTCTCCCTCTTCACCAGCTCCTTCTCTGTATGTAAACAAATTCCAGCCTTTTCAATTTTAACACATTGACTGCCACACAAAGAAATCAGAAACTTTTCTTGGGGCCAAAGTGTTTTATTATGCAAATCAGATAAAAACTTCGAGCGTAATGCAAAGGTAAACATAAATAGAAAAAACAAAATGTATTGACTTTTATTCATTTAATCCACGTGTTTAGGATTAAATTGTCAATATCAATTGTAACAATAAGAACATCAACAAGTAAGATTTTATATATGCTTTACGCTGCCCCTGGTTCAAAACTAGACTGAGTCAAATACAACTCTCGTGGCAGTTAATGTTAAAAAAATAAACAACTTTTAACGTGTGTTAAAAAATAAACAACTCCACTTGTATCTACCAGGTACTATTGTCTACTTCCTTGTCATCTCCTCACGAATCCAGCCCAGTTTCTTGGAAGTGTTGTCTCTACTGGTTGTCTCTGTTTTCTTCCCATTTTTTTCTTTCACCCCCTGCAAGGTGGATTCTGCTGTGGTCTCCCCTCCCTGGCACGTGATTAAAGCTGCTCTGGTCACACTTAGCAATGGTCTCCATGTTGCCATGTCCAAAAGACCTTCCAGTCCTTACCTTACTGGACCTCTTGGCTCTAGTGTTTAACGCCTTCATTCTCTGTTTCTGAGCTATAGATCTCCCTTGTGCAATATTATTCCCACATCTCTGTCTGTTGATTCTCTGTCTCCTTCAGGGATCTATTTTCCTTCTCATGGTCCTTCATGTGTGTTCTGGAGTTTCATGCTTGACTCATGGGGCTCACCACTTTATATCCTTCTCTCAGTAACCTCATCTACATCATGATTTAACCACCACTTCTCAAATCTCCTCTCTTTCTCTGACTTTTCCTATGAGCCTCAGATTTGTACCAACTTTTTGTTGAGGTTGAATCCCCACAGACATGTCAAATGTAATTTGTCCAAAACTGAGATTGCTGTACCCCACTCCTCCTGTGACTAATCATCCAGTGTCTGTGATAGAATCATGGAATTTATAACAAATTCCTCTTTCCATCTCTTTTTGCCACAAAAAGTCAATCTCCAAATTCTATTTTTTATTATATAAATATGCCTGTAATCTGTCCTTGCTTCTCCATTCCTACTATGCATGTTCTGATTAAAGACCTTATTGCCTCCTGGCAATAACGTTCTAATTATTTTTCCTGCCTGCAACATTGTCAGCCTCAAGTTAATCTTCCACAGAGCTATCAGGGGGATGTATCCCAAACACAAATCTGCCTGTAATAGCTCGTATTTCAACCCATCAGTAGCTTTGCATCACTTCAAGGATAAAGTCCCTGTTTTTAAATACAGCATCTGTGCCTCTCTAGGATGCTTCCCTCTCTACCATATACTCCCTGCCCCAGCTACTCCTACATCGTGGCAATTTCCTTTGCTTACACTCCATTTGCCTAAAATGTCATGTCCCTACTGCCTTTTAAATCTGGAAGACATCAAACTTGGAAGTAAAGCTTCTCCTGAGAGGTAAGATTGGGGAGTAAAAGACTATATGCTTTGGAAAATGACTGAACCCTCTGCATCTTAGTTTCCACATTTATGGAAAGGAAAAAAAAAAGGAGGGTCAGAGCTAGGGTTGTTGGATGGTGAGGGGTGAGGCATCAACTTCAGCTCAGGTTCAGCTTATCTGAATAGCCTCTTTTTTGTTTCCTCCCCATCCTTCAGCTGGTCTAATTATGCCTATACTGTACTCTCAGAATACTACTTTTTAACCCCCATGGACTATAACATTCTTTGAGGCAGGGATCACATCCTATTCCTCTTGCTCCTCCCACATTATCAACACCTCACACGTGGCTGGGCACACAGGTGGCTGTGTCATAAGTATGAGCTGGGCATCTGTTGGGTGATTGAAAGAAACACTATAAGGTCCGGTGGCAAGTATATCTCTTCACTCATATCTAATGTGCATGTATCATCCTTATGCTATCCTTGTGTTTTATTTTCAATTAAAATAATGTCTAGGGTGATTTTAATTTTATCAGATGTGGGGGACATAGTAGAGGCACTGAAGGAGGGACAGCTGACATTACACTAGGTGGGCTACGGAAAATCTGGGTCATAACCCAGATCCTCTACTTAGTTGATACGTGGCCCTGAGCAAACCATTTGACTTTGCTAAGCCCCAGATTTCACATCTGTAAATTGAGGATAATTACGATTGTCCTAATTCTGAGAGTTGGAGGAATCAAATGGGACCTATAATGCATATGAAAGAGCTTTGTGACATTTTGGGGACCCTCATAATAGTCAGAAAGAATTTTGCATTTGAGAGCTGTAGCACTAGACACACAGTCAGACCTGCTGGATGAAACTAAAGAGTAACCTCTTGGATATTTGATAATTTGTAAATAGCTTGCTTTTATGATACATTAAAAATTATATGCACTCCCATGCTGTGAATTAATTATTTTACATGAAGATTAAAAATGTAGAGTCATCTTATGAAAAATTAAACCAAACTCACGATTGCAAGCATAATTCTAACTCTGAGAGTATGTTAACAAGTCCACATTTGTACTTACCTCCCTGTGGAAAGAACTGCGAGTAAATCTCTTTGAAGGTTTCTTCATTAACAACACCACTGGGGCATTCCTAGGGAAAGTGGCAGAGAAGCAATATGAGCAAAGTGTTCATAAAACTCATTTTTTTTGCACATTTTGAAACAGAACTGTCTACTGTGCAAAGCTGCACCAAGAAAGTTAACCATCCATCTATTATTACAAAGAATAAAAGCACACAATAAACTCCTCTTTGTTCCAGTTCTCACGAATTAAAAAAAATTGCAGTTGTAAATATCTTTGCATATTTAGTATCAAAGTCAGTCTGCCATGTTCGAAAACACAATGCTGCTTTGAATAGCACACGTTTATTACTAATTAAGAGGAAATTGCATTGTTTTTTATACAGCAAGAAGATTGCAAGGTGCTTATAATATAGTCTTTACTGGGTCTTGGTTCTGTGTCCTCTCAAGGTTTTCTGGACCCACTAACCTTCAGTTCAGTGAGAAAATGGCTCTGTTAGGGTCTAAGGTATTTCAAGAAGCTTCAAGCAGGAACAGTTACTAATTCCTATTAACAGGTTGTTTGTGAGTACACATGACATAGTTTTGTAACAAGTGACCTTGGGTGAGATATGACCCCAAGATTTTTTTAAATTTCTGGAGAGGAAGGTCTGCCAAGAAACACGCCTGACCTGAGCTTAATATTAATAAATTCCTGCCTTTGTCCCTGGGTGGAGTTATTGAGGACTAATGGATACTGACATTGGGAACTGCACTGATGTTGGGCTATTGACCTGGAGGGGCCACAGGGAAAGGCTAGCCCTCTGAGAGTGGTTTTGCCATTTTCTCTAAAAGGAATTGAAATCTAAAATGTCAGAAGAGGTCTGACTTTGTGCAGAAAATGAGGTCTGGGAAAGTGAATCAGAGACTGAAGTGAGGGAAAAATTTCCTGTACTTTCTGGAGTTCTAAGAAGAGTCTGGTCAGAAATGTGAGGTGTAGAGACCCCCCCGTGCTGGAGCAGTGGAGACTGATAGTCCCATGACAGTCCAGCACACAGGATCACACATAAGACATTAATTGTACAGTCCTACCTTGGTGTCCGTGGGGCATTGGTTCTGGGACCCCCACAGGTACCAAAATACCTTCAGTTGTTATTTTGCAAGGACCTAAGAGAATGGGAGCAAAATACCGCAGCTGGACCTTTGGAACACACAGATGTGAAAAATTGGCTCTCTGTACCCTTTGTCTTTGATTCACATTTGGATGTGGCTGTGGAAACTGCAGATACGGAGGGATACTATGTTTATTGAAAAAAATCTGCATATAAGTGAACCTGTGAATTTCAAACTCCTCTTGTTCAAGGGCCAATTGCACATTGTAGGTGGGCAAGTGATAAACCCTGTCCAGTCTTGCTGAGTAGCTTCTCATGAGCAATCTCATGTGCCCTGAGCCCCCCTTGTTCCAGTGGTCGCAGCATCCCCTCGGGACTAAGTTCACTGGAGAGAAATCAACAGTGTGCTAACTTCCTAGAGGCCTGACTTTAGACATAAATATTCTGTGTGCTTTAAATTTGACACTGCTCCTGGCATCTTCACCAATTATCCAGTGTGGTCTTTAAAACTCCTCTTTGCCTTTAAAAATCATTGTCCCCTCACTATTAAACTCACTGTATTAATTTGATCTTTCTTTATTCCATTGAGCCAGTTACTCAACTGTAATGCGCTTCACATGAAAAGTTTTCGTTCTCATTTGTTGCTTTGAAAAGGAGGACCTTTGACACATAAACAATTTTATCAATAACTAATTTTAACCAATGCATAAGAATTTCAACTAATAGTTTCAATATGAATTTATGTTTACAGAGCTTGTCAATATGTATGTTTTTGTCCCATTTGACATTGTAATAAACCTACGACTTAGGAAGCCAAAATATCTCTGTTCATAGAGGCAGAACTAGAGGTGCTGAGTGGTAAAGCCCACTGTTACTGGGCAAGCCAGTGGAGAAGCTGGAATGTGGGCTCAGAACTTTCCAGGTTCAAATGTTAGATGCCCCCTGTGGAAATAACAATGACCTCAAGTACCTGAGAGAATTGGAGCAAATAAAAGACAACCAAAAACAAACAGGGAAGAAAGCACGCAAGCAATGGTTAATTGCAGGTGTTAACTTGGCCTGGTCATGGTGCCCAAGTATTTGCTCAAATATTATTCTGGATGTTTCTCTGAGGGTGTTTTTGTTTGAAATTTACATTTAACTTGGTGGACTTTAAGTGAAGCAGATTGCCCTCCATTATGTGTGGGGGTCTCTTTTAATCCGTGAAAGGCCTAAACAAAACAAAGACTGACTTCTCCAGAGCAAGAAGGAGTTCTCCAAGCAGACTGCTTTCAGACCTCATCTGCAACATTGGCTCTTCCCTTGTTTGCGGGCAGACTGCCTTTGGACTTGAACTACAACTTTCTGAGGCTCTAGCTTGCCAGCTTCCTCCATCAGATTTTGAATTGGCCAAGCCTCCACAGAGTGTGAGCCAATTCCTTAATAAATCTCTTTCTCTCTACATACACACACATCCTCTTGATTCTGTTTCCATGAAGAACCCTAACTAATCCATAAATGAATTAACAATCAACAGCTAAAAGTCCAAAAAGGAAAGAAGATATGTATACAGCTAATCACTCAAAAGTTTTGACTAACTCTCTGTATCTAGTTGGCAGCAACAGACCAATTTTAAAACTAAATAAACACTTCGTAGCTGGATCCTCTCACACATGGATGTGGTGATTTATTGGCTATTTAACTCTAAGCCATCTGCTTGGAATAGTAAGGAGAGGGCAGATACATGGTTCTCTGCCAGCAGGTGGTAAATTTGTGCAAGCTCAGAGCTGGAAAGCTGCCTCAGAGTTAAAGTGACACTGATGAGAGATGAGAATTACATATAAAGGGACATCTATGCTCAGAAAACTTGTTAGCTGCCTCTGGTCTCTGGATATGTTTGATAGATATATCTTATAATGTGAAATGATACTTGGAAATTGACTATCTCATATGCATTTGTTTTATGTTTAATGACATACCTATGTCAGAAGAAATTCTTTCTCTGCCAACTGAAAGCTCCTGGACAAGTTTCAGGGTTTGGAAAGTTTCACCAGATAAATTTATCTTTATCCATCTCACATTCATTACAATAATTTTTATTTCCACAAATACATATTGATGCCTATTATCCTAGGAACTCTTCTAGGAACTGGAGCTGCAACAATAAGCGAGTCAAAGGTTTTACCCTCATGGAGCCAATATCCAACGAGGAAAGTACAGTGTCTTACTTTGTTCAGGCTGCTATGACAAAATACCATAGACCGAGTAGCTTGTAAATAGCAGAAATTTATTTCTCACAGTTATGAAGCCTGGGAAACCTAAAACCACAGGGTCAGCAGATGCAGTACTCTATGAGGGCACATTCCTGGTTCATAGATGGCACCTTCTAGCTGTGTCCTCACATGGTAGAAGGGCCAAGCTAGCTCTTTGGGGACCCATTTTTCTTTTCGGTCTCTATAGAGACTGTCAAAAATTGCCAATGCCAAATATATTGCAAGTTGTCACAGTGGCCTATTAGGAAAATTTTCAATTAGCAGTGCTCATGTCTAGGATAAAACCCCATTGGCTATAATACTGCCCCTGTGCAAAGCTTGTGGGGTCTTTTTTATAAGGGACTAATCCCATTCATGAGGGCTCTGCCCAAATAATCTAGCCACTTCCCAAAGGCCCCACCTTCTAATACCATCACATTGGGGGTTAGGATTTCAACATATGAGTTCTGGGATACACAAACATTCAGATTATAGCAAAGACCAAGACAAAAGCTAATAAAAAAAATCAATTCAGAGAATGATGATCTTTTGTTTATCTTAGAGTCCCCTTACTGAAACCATTGCATTTTTTTTTAACATTCAGGTAAGAAAAATTAAACAAACTGTAGGACTCTAATGATTTACAAGACAGTGCATGTGATTTATCCTCCAACTTTTTGGTCACCTCTTTTGTTGAGTGTTTACACAAAAGTGGTCTCTCCACCCCTTCATCAACAATGAATTTGATCAGGCTGTGTGTACAGCAAAGTATACAGCATAAACATCACGGCTGTATGAGTTAACAGTGCTGTAACAAGGTGGCCCCCAAATATGCAGGTTGAGTATTCCTTATCAGCAATACTTGGACCAGAAGTGTTTTGCATTTCAGGTTTTCTTGGATTTTGGAATATTTGCATTATACTTACCAGTTGAGCATTCCTAAATCTGAAATCTGAAATGCTCCAATCTGAAATGATCCAATCCAATGAGCATTTCCTTTGAGCATCATTTTGGTACTCAAAAAGTTTTGGATTTTAGAACATTTTACTCTTCAAATTAGGATTATTCAACCCATTTAACAAACTAAAAGGAATGTAGTATAGTTCTTGCTCTCATAACAGTCTTGGGTGAATGTGTAGATTAATTGGTAGTTCTTCTTTTTCTAGTCATTAAGGGACAGAGGCTAATGGAGACTGGGTCATCTTCAACATATGGCTTCTGTAGTCTCTGTGATTGACTCAACCAGAAAGAGAAAAAGAACACTGAAAAGAATGCATGGAAGGTTTTTATGGGCCAGGTCTTCAAATAGTACACATCATTTCCACTCTTATTCTTTTAGTTAGAAATCACTTAATATAACTCTCCCAAACAAAATGAGAAGTCTTGTGTGCCTAGGAAGAAGACAAGAACACCGATTTGGTAAAGAGTTAGGAATATCTGCCCCGTGGCATCTTTGAAAGATATTCCAAGTATCTATACTCTGAAATAGTTTTGCAACTAATGCTTTAACATGACTATTGTCGATCATTTAGCGGGATAAATTGTCTCCATTTCCCTGGCACCATTTTTAAAGGCTAATATTTTCAAGTAAACAAATACAATGAAACTTAAACATCTGAGTATGAGCTCCCAGGTTTAGAAACAGTGAGGAAAACCTTACTCATCTTTTTTTTTTTTTTTTTTTTTGGAGAAAGAGTCTCCCTCTGTTGCCTAGGCTGGAATGCAGTGGCATGATCAGAGCTTACTGCA